TGGCGTCTTCATAATCGAGCAGTCATAATTTCATATTATCCCACAGGTTTGAGCAATGAGCAGTATTGGAAGTCAGTCTCAGTCCAACCGACCAGCCTTATTCCCAGTGGAATGGCCGCTGACCCAGATCAATGCAGGCAACAAAAGACAACCCATAGCCCGCAACGAGCTAACACCCAAGCCCAAACGTAGAAAAGCAGAACACTCTAATACCCTGACGCGCAACCAATTGTCCAAAACAACCGCTGAACACTACACACAGACTGACAACAAACCAACCGCAAGGGAACTGGGAACTAATGCCCAGTGTCATAACCGAGGGACTTCCATCAGTGACGTCAAATACGAGCCCGCAACACCGACCGCTGTCCCTAATATTTTTAAATCTCTCGATCACGATGAGGCAAGCTGGTTAGTGGAGGAGGTCAATGAAGCGAACAAGAGTATTTTTGGAGCAGAGAAAACGGCTGAGAAATTAAAGGAAGGCGATGAAGAGCTCGACAGAAAGAAAACATCGCTGAGTGCTCTGAAGTAAGTTCGAGAGACTTTGTTAATATTAAAGACTGGTTTACACTATCAAAGTTTCTGTGATCACAGTAGGAATTTTGAATTGGCAAAGTTTTTGAAGGATTTGTAAGAAGTGTTTGAGGGAACTGATTCAGTGTTAAAAACTACGTCATTTGCCGCAAACATTTCTTACAAATCCTTGAAAACTTAGAATTTACCTATGCAAAATTCCTACTGTGATCACAGAAACTTTGAACCAGCCTTAACTTAAACTGTACTGGATAACTGCTGAAGTGCTCTCCCTTGAACGAGCTTGATCAGGGCAGTCGAGCCGTCACTGCAGGAGGAAACTTAAATTCAATCAAAGCTAGCTATTTATACTGGAAAGCTGTGTTATCTCTAAACTGTTCTCTTGGCTAGATGTCAGTGAGGGTCACGCCTAATAACGGAATTTGAAAGAAATAAAATTGGTATCAGACCCTCGTGTTGAAATGTTACATGAAGTAGTCACAGATACAAACATGACTTTAACTTCAAAAACTCATTAATAATTCATGAAGCAATTATCCAATCTTGAGTAAGAAATTAGTCACGTGCATACGTCTTTATACCAGCTAAAGAACACTTTAAAAAAAGACCATTGTTATGCAAACTATAGAAAGATTTTTATATAAAGATTTTTATATAAAGATTTGACTTATTATGCAAACGTTTTTGAAGCCATTTAAAAAACTCGCAGGTCGTGTTTTAATAGGTCTAAAGCCACTCGCGCTGCGCGCTCGTGGCTTTAAACCTAATAAAACACTCCTGCTCGTTTATTAAACAGTACTTAATGTATAAAATTATTTTTCTAGAAATCTACTAAACGACTTGAGAAGAAACATAAAATATCCTGACGAGGACACAGCGAAAGACTTGGACACATTAGACGAAGTTTCTGCCAACTTCGGCGTAAGAAATATGGTCAATTGTCTTGGCTTACTGGACAATTATTTTTGCGAGTTGCAGAAGCAACTTGAAAACTGAGAGTCTACTTGATTTGTGATCCAGTGTAAGGTAGCACTATGTGTTAGTGACAGAATAGTTTTATATATTGTGCTGCAAAGCAGTTGTAAGGTATAGTGTTGGTAGTGTAATGTGTAGTTTTAGTACTATGCCTGATAGTATGTACAGAACAAATGCAAAGCATATAGTTTAAAAATAAGGTAATAGTTTCCAAAGCACATAGTGTATTCATGGCTTGAGTGCATGCATAATGCATTCACAAACGTTCAAATGATGCAGTGTAGTTGTAAGGCACCATTTATCAAGGTAGATATGTTTTATAGATTTCAAGCAAATGTTTTATTATCCAGATTTTATAATCTCGGGTGAAATCAGTAAATAAACTTGTATTCATTCAAAACTCTGATTTTTGTGTCGTTTTTATGCAAGACCGTGGGTGGTGGTGGGTGGGTGCAAAGGGGGATTTATGGGGCAATTCACACTTCTATTATCTATATGTACGGTTACCAGCTTTTACTTAAAGTACGATTAACCCCAAATACGTTTTTTTGCATGTGCAATATTTTGGGTCATTTGAAGAAATGTAATATATCTTTATAATAAAAAATCCCATCTTGATCAACTTTTTCACTGTCAAAGTTTCCGGATATGATGTCATTAGGTGAATTGCAAATTAGTTTTCCTTTGTTTTTTATACCAAAAATTCACCTAATGACATCATATCCACAAACTTTGACATTGAAAAAGTTGATCAAAATGAGGCTTTTTACTATAAAGACGCATTACATTTCTTCTTAGAATGACCCAAATATTACACATACCAAAAATTGTATTTGTGGTTAGTCGCACTTTTATCGAAATTTTGTTCGCTTCTGAAATTCAAACTCGTTTACTATATTCCTGAGCAAAACAAACCTATTAAATCAATGTCGTTCTGGTTCATTCAAGAATAGTTATATCATATACTCAGGTATTCGAATTCATCTCGGATATTTCATATACTGACATATAACATTTGACGCATTGTATACTATAATCAATAGCCGTTTTCACATTAGAAGACGGACAAGTCGTCTAGACGAACAAATCGTCTCAAAATCGTCTTTTAGTCGGACAAATCATCAGATGTGAAAACGTGTCGGACAAAATGTTAGACGAACAAGTCGTCTGAATTTGTTCGACTGCTTGTCCGTCTGTGAAGACGATTTTTGAGAGACGATTTGTTCGTCTAGACGACTTGTCCGTCTCTAATGTGAATAGGGCTAATACTATAGATAATCACATGCCCTTTTCGCTCTATAAAGGCTTATAGTTGGGTTTCAATAAGTGTGACAATGCAGCATACGGTCACAGAATAGACGCACAGAAGGTCGTTTTCTTGGTTTTGCCTATGATTTCAAAATCAACGTCCAAAAATCAACGTTAAAATCAACGTCCTGCTTCTAGCCAGTACGCTTATGAGGTATTCACCCAGTAACCCACTCTGAAAATATTTAAAATGCCGAACACCCAGGGGGGTGAATGCCTCTCATAAGCGGATTCCAAAGCCTCCCCCCCCCAATCACTTTTCTAATGGTCGGCCCCTAAGTGTGAAAATATTAGAAGTTGAGCAGCATGTATTATAACACACCGAACTGAAACTCCGCTATAATATGGCCAATATGTTTTATACTTGCTTAATTTAAACAAAATTTACAATAAACTTGTATAGTTTACATAATCAAAGCCTGCATACGCAAGCCCTGGGCACAGAAGAAAGACACACAGAAGATCCACTCACGCCATAATTTGTCATCAAAATGCTGACGCCATGGACCTCCGCCATTCTGAATATTATCAGTTTGGGTGAATGCCTCTCATAAACGCACTGACTAGGACCATTGCGTCAGCATTTTGATGACGAATTACGCCAAAATCATAAGAAAAACCAAGAAGTCTGGCTTCTGTATGGTCTCTATTCTGTGTTCCAGCCCAGAAAACGATGTTGTGGAAATCTATAATTTTCGAAGGTAGTGGATCCATTAGAAAATACTTTAAAACATTTTTGTTCCTGGGAGGCAAATTTTGATTCAACTGGAGCAATATTCAAGGATAATGAATTTCAAATGTTTCCTCAACAACGTTTGCTAGTTTGTAGTTCGCTCAGGACTCTCCTTTTCTTGCCAGGCTGTTTAGCAGCTCAATCGGAAGCGGGAAAATAATAGTGGAATTCTTCTCGGCAGAAATTGCGCTCAGTGTTTGCAAATATCGCAGCTGTAGGGCCTGTGGTGACTCAGCAATCACTTCAGCGGCTTCTTTGAGAGCCCGCGATGCATTCATTTCACCTTCAGCGGCAATAACCTATACGGAAAAAGATACTGGATTATAAAGTTCCATACGTACATCTGTCAATTGGTGGGTTTCAGAAAATATTAGATAGTACAATAGTCAGTACATGTACATTATGAAATTGACTCAACGATTTTTACTCTAGATTTACATTATGAAATTGACTCAACGATTTCTACTCTAGTCTCTAGATCAATTTACATTATGAAATTGACTCAACGCGTTCTACTCTAGATTTACATTATGAAATTGACTCAACGATTTCTACTCTAGATAAATTTACATTATGAAATTGATTCAACGATTTATACTCTAGATACTGTAAATTTACATTATGAAATTGATTCAACGATTTTTACTCTAGATTTACATTATGAAATTGACTCAACGATTTCTACTCTAGATTTACATTATGAAATTGACTCAACGATTTCTACTCTAGATTTACATTATGAAATTGACTCAACGATTTCTACTCTAGATTTACATTATAAAATTGACTCAACGATTTTTACGCTATAGAATTCACTCAACGCGGCAAACATTTATATATTTCGGAGCTTACCTCTGACTGGAGAAATTCTACATCTACAGAATCTCTAAACTGCCTCTGCTCTTCAAAAATGTAAAAAACTCATCACACCAGATCATATACTGTACTTTTCGCTACATGGTCTGGATAACTCCCGCGGTTTCGACAACAGCACAAAAAAAACATTGCTGTAACTTTATTCGAAACATAAACACATATCGTCTCTAGTCGCACTTGCGGAAGTATTCCCAAAGTTCCGGATACAAAAAAAGCATTCTAACTAACGCCCTCTGTATGGTCATTATCGTACATGTTTTTCTGTATTACATTCCTATTCTATGCCTACGCTATTCTTGTTTGAAGACTATAGGTCTGATAGCCGACAGCTGGTACATAAAAATAGTTGTGATTCACTAAGTTTCGACATCCTACCTTCGCCCTCGCCTCCCTCGCAGCTTCAGCTTCGGCCGCCATTGCCCTCTGCAGTTGCTGTGGAAGTCGTACATCTTTACTGCAAGAAAGAAGCGCAGTACGTTAGATTTTACAAATTTGAACACACTAGTATTATCAGAGAGAGTTCATCACTTAATTTAAACACTACAAGTAAACTATTTGACCTTTTACCGAAGCCAGTGCACCACCAATACAATTTTAGAAACGCACGCAAAATTCCACTGTTTAAATCCCGTACCCAACGTTTTAGTGATAGCTTCCTGCCGTACTGTGTGAAGAAATGGGACGCCATAGAGTAGTTAAATTTTACTCATGTTTTACATTTTTAGCTGTATTTTATTGGAACTCTTATTGAAACTTTTTTAGAAATTGTTGTATCTTGAGTTTTTCAATTTTAATTTGTAAAATTGACATTCAAGAATTTTAATAACAATCTAATAATCACTATGTTCTCTCTTTAGCCCCACAGGAAACACCCTCCCTTGCAAAAACACCGTAACTTACACTTCAACACGTTCCACTTTGACACCCCAGGGGTCAGTTGCCACATCAAGTGTTGACTAAAATTTATAATACACGATTAGCATTTGAAAAACCAGGAGGAAACCTTAACTACTGCAATCTCTTCCTAGAGGTCATCTCTTATTGATCCAGTGTTACTACAGGAGGAAACCTAAACTAAACTAACTTTATTTATACTGGATAGCTCTATCAGTTCTAAACTGTTCTTCCTAGAGGTTCAGTAAGGATCATCTCTTATTGATCCAGTGTTACTACAGGAGGAAACCTAAACTAAATTAACTTTATTTATACTGGATAGTTCTATCAGTTCTAAACTGTTCTTCCTAGAGGTCCAGTAAGGATCATCTCTTATTGATCCAGTGTTACTACAGGAGGAAACCTAAACTAAACTAACTTTATTTATACTGGATAGCTCTATCAGTTCTAAACTGTTCTTCCTAGAGGTCTAGTAAAGGTCATCTCTTATTGATCCAGTGTTACTACAGGAGGAAACCTAAACTAAACTAACTTTATTTATACTTGATAGCTCTATCAGTTCTACACTGTTCTTCCTAGAGGTTCAGTAAGGATCATCTCGTATTGATCCAGTGTTACTACAGGAGGAAACCTAAACTAAACTAACTTTATTTATACTGGATAGCTCTATCAGTTCTAAACTGTTCTTCCTAGAGGTCCAGTAAGGATCATCTCTTATTGATCCAGTGTTACTACAGGAGGAAACATAAACTAAACTAAACTAATTTTATTTAAACTGGATAGCTCTATCAGTTCTAAACTGTTCTCCCTAGAGGTCCAGTAAGGATCATCTCTTATTGATCCAGTGTTACTACAGGAGGAAACCTAAACTAAACTAATTTTATTTATACTGGATAGCTCTATCAGTTCTAAACTGTTCTTCATAGAGGTCCAGTAAGGATCATCTCTTATTGATCCAGTGTTACTACAGAAGGAAACCTAAACTAAACTAACTTCATTTATACTGGATAGCTCTATCAGTTCTATACTGTTCTTCCTAGAGGTTCAGTAAGGATCATCTATTATTGATCCAGTGTTACTACAGGAGGAAACCTAAAATAAACTAACTTTATTTATACTGCATAGCTCTATCAGTTCTAAACTGTTCTCCCTAAAGATCCAGTAAGGATCATCTCTTATTGATCCAGTGTTACTACAGGAGGAAACATAAACTAAACTAAACTAATTTTATTTATACTGGATAGCTCTATCAGTTCTAAACTGTTCTCCCTAGAGGTCCAGTAAGGATCATCTCTTATTGATCCAGTGTTACTACAGGAGGAAACCTAAACTAAACTAATTTTATTTATACTGGATAGCTCTATCAGTTCTAAACTGCTCTTCATAGAGGTCCAGTAAGGATCATCTCTTATTGATCCAGTGTTACTACAGGAGGAAACCTAAACTAAACTAACTTTATTTATACTGGATAGCTCTATCAGTACTAAACTGTTCTCCCTAAAGTTCAACAAGAGTCATTCCTGACCTGAATACTGTGGCTGATAGTTTCTCGTTCGGACAAAATCTCGCTCAAGCTACGTGTACCAAGAACATTACGCAATGTGGTTTGTGCCAACAGCCGAGTGGAACGACTTGCATTTTGAACATTGATGATTGCCATGGTGGCATTGTAGATCTTGTAGTATACCACAGCATCCACTGCGACTGTCACACTGTCTTTTGAGAGAATCTGATTGAGAAAAACAAATTTAAAATTCTGTCATGCACATAACGGTAGTTACACAAGACTTTTAGCTGCATAGAAGACGCTGATCAAACACAGCAAATATTGAGCACTAGGTTTAGAGCTAGGCATGGCAGCAAGATAAATGTTTATAATATATATGTAGTTGTGTTTCAGGGCAGCTAGTGGTCAACATCAGACTTATAGGAGCAAGAGTTATCTATTCTAGACCACATCTATTCTACTTATTTGCCACCAAAACGAGACTACTCAAGAATAGACAATTCCCATTACAGACTAATTTTAAAACTAGGCAAGGAGATGCAAATAAATCACCACAGCTCGAAAGAGCATACTAAAATGAGTAAAATTGCAAACTTTGGTTGCGAAATGTTGTAAAATGAGGAAAATATAGCCTTGCAAAGTTCGCAAATTTTGTATACTTTTGTATTGCGTGCGGAAATTCCTACCACATTTGGGACGAAAATTTGCAAACTTTGCAAGGCTATATTTTCCGCATTTTACAACATTTCGCAACCAAACTGTGCAATTTTACTAATTTTAGTGTGCTCTTTCTAGCTGTGGTGATTTATTTGCATCTCCTTGCCTAGCTTTAAAATTAGTCTGTAATGGGAATTGTCTATTAACTTTATTTCCTAACTCTGATAACTGCAGGTTGACCACCAACTGCTGCACGATAACCATCTCAACAGTTTATATTCTGTTGTGTTAAGTACTGAATATATTCTATAATTTCTTACTTCTTGTGGTGGCACGTCAAATGACACAACTCGGAGATCGACGTTTTGATAAGAATCCATACATGGTAAGATAAAGAATAATCCTAGATGATGTTAAAAAACGTAATTAGGATATTTTGGGGAGGGAATGTACATACTGTAGTTCAAGAATTAATGTAGATTCCGTACCAGGCCCCTTGGCTCCCCCAGGCAGAAGTCGACCAAGACGAAATATGACTGCTCTTTCGTACTCTTGAACAATCTACATAGCGTAAGATCATTATAATTAACAATAAATTACATTCTTAAGGCCTAAAAAAAATACCTGTGGTTCCGGTTCCCGACCGACCCTATTTTTTTCTGCTGACCCTATTATTCTTTCAATGCGATTGACTGTGCGACCCTATTTTCTCCAGGTGGTTGCGGGCTGCTCATACAGCGTGCCAAAATGGCGTCTGTTGTCACACTAATTATTGAAAAAAACATGAAAAAATATTTTTAAAAAATTTATTTCCAACCTACCAACCCTAATTTTTTGCGATATGAGACCGGAACCACAGGTATTTCTTTTTTAGGCCTAAGCACCGGCCTTCGTACAACTGTTCCCTGTCCTTTAGATATAGTACAGTGGGGTATAAGATGGGGGGAGGGGGCAAGAGAAGGATGTCATAGCCGAGGAACGGGATGGGAAAAATAAGAGGTTGTGGTGAGAGATGTCTTGTTCTTGTGGCATGATATGGTAATCATAGCAGTGAGGCTTGTGGGGTGGGGGTATACAGAAATATATAACTTGGCAGTCAGGTGGGGTGGGAATGTAGTGAGGGTAGGGTGACTGAGGGTGTGAGGGCAGAGTGTATGGAGGATGGAGTGGAGCAAGGGTGAGTGGAGGTATAGTGGGGTGGAGCGAGGGTATAGTGGGGTAGAGTTAGGATGGGTGGGGTTATAGCAGTGGCGTAGCCAGCCCGACAATTTGGTCATGCTATGCAAATTTCAAATCATTTTTCATTTCTTTAGAAATTGATTGTTTTCACAGTTTATGAACACAGAAATATTTGCATAGCATGACCCAATTGTCAGGCTGGCTATGCCACTGGGTTATAGTGACAGTAGGTGGAAGTGTAGGAATGGGTGAGAGGTACAGTATATTGAGATGAAGAAGTAAATTCTGGTGTGCAATGGTGGGGAAGTACTCTGGGGTAGAACTGGGATGATGTGAGAAGAGACGGGGGTCTTACTGGAAAAATGAGACGGTCCAATAGAGCTTTAAAAATGCAAGACTTACCCGGATACAGAAGAACAATGAAAAAGGGAAGGTACAAATGACGAGGAGATAGGATAGTCCTGTGAGAATGGTGCCACAAAGACTTGGTCCTTCAGGTGGCGTCTCTGCCTCTGTTGGAGGGAAAATAGCGCATCAACTACTGGTATTACCAGGAGCAGGGGCAATGGGGCATAGCCAGCCATAAACGAGTGTAAGGGGGGGGGGGGGTTTAATTGTCCAGCCATTCAGGGAAATTGTTTTATATTTTTAGTGCCGGCGAAATGGGACAGATTTGGTATATTTTATGTCATAGATTATGTCATAAGAGGTCACACCCCCCCCCCAACCCAGTTTCTCAGTTTTGAAAGAATTACAAAATTGGTCCCTATGCCTCTGACCAAGAGAGTTGTTTGTTTTTCAAGAAAAAGTAAAAAAATGAGAAAAATATGCTGTTCTCTGAGGAGTGAAGCATTCTTCTTGCAAACCAAACACAAGGTCAGACATTAAATGTGTCACAGATTAGAACATGCTCTTTTCAAACAACATTTTAATATTGGACACACCTTATAATTGCATCTCTGATTGTAATTATGGCAATATATTACTGTAAATTATATTAAATATTTATACAATGTACCAGCTGCTAAATTTGAACTGTGTTGCTCTGGAAAAGCAACATGAAACCTGTACTGGATCCATATTTGAGATATCTTTTTCAGGTAGTTCAGACACAAACCACGACAGTTTATTGTCTTTATTGTAGAATACTGCCTACACTGAACCTCCACATTTGAGATATCCTTTTCACATAGTTCACACACAAACCACGACAGCTTATTGTAGAATACTACCTACACTGGACCACCACGTTTGAGATATATTTTTCAGGTAGTTCACACACAAACCACGGCAGCTTATTGTAGAATACTACCTACACTGGACCTCCACGTTTGAGATATCTTTTTCAGGTAGTTCAGACACAAACCACGACAGCTTACTGTAGAATACGACCTACACTGGACCACCACGTTTTAGATATCTTTTCCAGGTAGTTCAGACACAAACCACGGTAGTTTATTGTAGAATACTACCTACACTGGACCACCACGTTTTAGATATCTTTTCCAGGTAGTTCAGACACAAACCACGGCAGCTTATTGTAGAATACTACCTACACTGGACCACCACGTTTGAGATATCTTTTTCAGGTAGTTCAGACACAAACCACAGCAGTTTATTGTAGAATACTACCTACACTGGACCACCACATTTGAGATATCTTTTTCAGGTAAGTTCATACACAAAAATATGACTCCGATACATTATATCTGCAAGAATAGTTTGGACCAATATATCTTTATGAACGTTTCTACTACAAAAATCTACATTTATAATTAATATTAATTTACAAAGTGTCAAAATGTCAATCTTCAAACGGTTCAAATTTCGTTTAAAATATCACCAAATATTGCCAATTGACGAAATAAAAAACATTACATAAGCCTCTAAATAGGACAGGTTCGCAGGAAATACGGTTTCCAAACAAAATCTGTGCAAAACAGGCAGCAATACTTGCAAAAATACACCTTTTGACCCTTGACAACGAAATCATTAAATATTCATCGCATATAATACGCAAAAAAAAACAGCAAGAAAAACACCGGAGACAAACTACAAGAGTTAAGCAAATGTAGCTTGTTTAAAATTATCGAAAATATAGAGAATTTAGGTATTCAAAAAGCAATAAATGGCTCTTACCTTCGGGATAAACAGACTTGTGGCATGGACGGCTCGCCATTAGAAACGCACTTAAATTATGCTGCAGATTTTAATGCAGCTGATCTTATTAAATTAAAACTGGACAAACTTCCGGCCATTACCGTTGTTTGCACCTACTTGTGAACAGAACCAGATTGTCTATTCTCACGTGAAACGTTCATGCTTGTCAAAAGCATTTGATGCTAATTTGTTTTGACAGTTATGAGAGCGAGCAAACGATGCTATACTAATTTTCTTACATTTTCGAGTTGAAAAACCCATCCGTTGTTGAATCTTTTAAATGCTCCGATAAAATTTAGAGTGAAGTCTGGGGGCACAATTCTGTTTATTTGCCATTCACTTGACTCTAACAAACGCCAGATGGCTATCACTTCGGTAAAAGGCATTTAATAAGAGATGAGTCATGGATAATAGTTTTGAAATGAATATTTTCTGTTATTTGAAAAGCTCTAGCGTAGATAAATATAGCGAGTCTTGGAATGAAGATGTTTTGATGTCAATTGTAAACTAGCTAAAGTTCAACTCATTTGTCCGCTGTTTGTAAGATATTTTGTAATGTCAGACACCCAGTCCAAATTGCAGTGTCATGTTTTGATAATCTTTGACAACATACATTTGGGAATTGGGACAATCCTGTCAGTTTACGGTGCATGCATTCAGATATATTAGTCATTAGACCAGTTTTGATACATTTATTCCTCTGCCCATCAGTTTAAATGTTGTGGCATCTGGCGAAGAGACATTGGTTTTTTGTAGGGCAAACCTTGAACGGGGACGCTAGGCCTTTCAAATTATATGAAATTGAGGTGTACGTAGTGATCCAGCCAAAGTTTGTATATTTTGTTGGTGAAAAAATACAGGAAAGTGTTAGTAGCAAGGTAACCTGATTCAGGTCATAAGTCGACCGTTTCGGCAACCGAGTTTCGTTTGTCAGCTATTTTGTAAAATGCAGGGAAAACTATGAGACCTCATCAGAAGCAGGTAAAATGTTGAAATGTAAAAAGAGAAGTCAGAGAACAATGGAGTGACTCTCATTGCATGAGAAATAATTCAATTATCCTGCCTCAAATTGGAGTAAACTGCCTTCAGTTATTATGGAAAAACACTCGAACGTACACGGAACTGGAAGGTATTCAAATTCAATATTATTTTACGATATTTTACAAATTTGCATAAACTTCATCAAATAAACATTCTACATCTGGGCGACACGCTGCGCTGCAAATCCAAGCATTTACTGATCTATGAAATTAGTTGAGCATAATCTTCGCAACCCAGAGGAAGTCATTTCTGCGGAATCGTTGCAAGTTGCCACTTTTGTCTGTTTTGGTGTGCGCATCATATCAGTGGTCAGGTCATAGATAGATACCTATGGGTCAGGTCGCTTATGCAGGCGACATTTTTGTCAACACGGAGAGGGGGGACTGGTTTAATAACTGTGTTTGTATCAGTTTGTGGTAATCTTCAACAGATCGATATGACAACACAGAAGATTTTTAATTAAACTTCTTTGCGTTCTTATACGAGAGCTTTGATACAAAATGCCGGCGAGCAAAATGAGTTCTACCAATATGACGTCGCTCGATACAAAAACATCGCTATTATTATTAACGAAACAGGGACAACACCCTTGTGTCAATAAAACTGTTATTTTATACACATTCGTTTCTATTTAGTGCAAAAGGCATTTGAGACTAGAAATTAGTACAATGAAACTAGAATTTAGCTGATAAAGGAAAGAATGAGTTATTAGTATTCAGTTCAGCGTTGTCTGAGGTAGAACCCAGCCCTAGATGACACGAAATTTATTAAGCAAAATCTGTCAGTGTTATTTAGTTATAAGGACGTCACTGGATTTCATATCTACAGACTTAAAACTCTGCATACTCGAAAAATTTGTTCATTGCTTTAAAACCCATCTTTGGTTGATCTACTGACGGCTTTGTACCTGTTAGCGTGTGGCGTTTGCTCACTGCAAAGAACTTTAAGATCAATGACAATATGTTCGTTGCCAAATGCTGTTAGTTGCGTTGGCTATAAAACTATGTTAATTATGATATATAAAACGTCTTATTATTCATACAAAACGTCTCAGAGAAGTAAGCTTTTGTTTAAAAGAGCCTTTACACAATATGAATTCGTACGAATGTGTCAAGCAATAATAAGCATAATACGACTTGGACAATAGTAGCGAATGATATATATCAGCAAATACGAGTAATTTGAATCAATATGTATAAAAACGTCTATTCGATAAGATTTAACACCACAAAGCTTAAATATAAAGTACTGCAAGCGGTTTACAGATAAATCCTAAAAAAGCTAGCTTGTTATGTTGTGAATTTTGAAAGCAGAACTAAGGTGAGCGCGCACCATCTGCTTCAGTTATCTTGCTCGCCATGAAACAAACTACGTCTACGTTTTGACAGACATAACAGCCTACCTGAAAGTCGATGAATTGGACGAGTTTCTTCTACGCTTCTTTGAGACATTTCGATAGGTTCACTAATTTCACTCATTTGAAACGTAAGTTGCCCTCAACACGGAAGGAAGTAAACAAGAGCCGTTTTTAAAATTTAAATGTTTGGGCTTCCAGATCTCGAGTGATGAGAGACGAAGCATGAATATGTAATTTGCTCTTCAATATTCATGCTGTGCCGAAATATATTAAACTTTCATGACTTTGAGAGGCATATTGTTTGACCAATTATATTCAATTTTACTCGGTGAAAAAAGGAACTCTCAATATTTTTGGTACAAACTCATTACAGTCAATTCAGTTCATTTTGAACTTTCAATATTTGTGGCAAATTGTTTCGTTCTTTTAATTGCTGTGTGACCGCCATGGTAGCGTGGTGGGGTTTTTGTCAATTAAACTGATTTGTTCTGTGCAAATTGGTTTATTAAATTTGGAGGTTTTTGCTGGCATTGAAATGGACACTATAGTAATGCATTGCGCCGTACAGTACTGTACTCTGTCACAGAGTACTAACCATATACAGAGGTCTCACGAGTCACGACTTCGCGAGAAAAACGTAAGGTACACTCGTAAAACTATAACGCACAAGTTGTAACAAACCTGCAGCAGACTTGTAGCAATGCTGTTCCAATAACTTGTCAACAGGATGTGTTCGCACTGCTTGTTCCCAGCTTGTTGACAAGTTGTCAACGGCTTGTTGCAACTTGCTACAAGGTTGTTGAGCTCAACAGACTTGTTACAAGTTGTTCCAACAACTTGTTATCGTCCTACAATTCAACAATCCGTCAACAAGTTGTTGCGAGTGACAACCTGGTAGCGACTTGATAAAATAACAGCATTGTTACAACTTGTTGACAAGCTTGCTACAAGCCTGTTGCGAACACATCTTGTTGACAAGTTGTGTGTGACAATCTTGTAGCTGAACTTGATAACATAACAGCATTGTTACAACTTGTTGACAAGCTTGATACAAACCTGTTGCGAACACATCTTGTTGACAAGTTGAGAGTGAAAATCTTGTAGCTGAACTTGATAAAATAACAGCATTGTTACAACTTGTTGACAAGCTTGCTACAAACCTGTTGCGAACACATCTTGTTGACAAGTTGTGAGTCTCAATCTTGTAGCTGAACTTGATAAAATAATAGCATTGTTACAACTTGTTGACAAGCTTGCTACAAACCTGTTGCGAACACATCTTGTTGACAAGTTGTGAGTCTCAATCTTGTAGCTGAACTTGATAAAATAACAGCATTGTTACAACTTGTTGACAAGCTTGCTACAAACCTGTTGCGAACACATCTTGTTGACAAGTTGTGAGCGAAAATCTTGTAGCAACTTGATAAAATAACAACATTGTTATAACTTGTTGACCAGCTTGGCACAAGTCTGTTGCGAACACATCTTGTTGACAAGTTGTGAGATTTTTACGTATGTAGTTTTTACTGCGTATATCTGGCGGCCCATGTACTTATAGCAAGTGCCCTAAAGCGAGCCGCCCACCCCCCTGGAGCATTAAATTTCAATTTGTTTTCAGGGGGGTGACAGTCTCTCTTTAGGGCACTTGCTAAGAACATGACGGACTGGAATAATTCCTTACGCTGAAATTAATAAGAAGTGAGAGCTCTGTATGGTATTTACTCTGTGATCTGTACTCTGTATAGGAACCGTTTTTACAAAGCCACCGAATGGTGATTTTTTTCAACCGATTGTTTCAAAAATGCTTAAAAAGCTATAAAATTACCGATATAGATAGACCTGACAATTGATAAAAAGAAATACTAATAATTTATAAATACTGAAGTTTAATGTGGGCTTTACCAATCAACGGACAATTTTACGACGCTTGAAAAAAATCACTCTCCTGCCTTCGTACAACCGCCGATGTATTGTACTATGGTGGTGTACTGTACAGTGTGTGGTAGTGTACTGTATGGTATGGTAGTGTACTTTATGGCAGTGTACTGTATGGTATGGTAGTGTACTGTATGGTACGGTAGTGTACTGTATGGTAGTGTACTGTATGGTAGTGTACTGTATGGTATGGTAGTGTACTGTATGGTATGGTAGTGTACTGTATGGTATGGTAGTGTACTGTATGGTACGGTAGTGTACTGTATGGTAGTGTACTGTATGGTATGGTATGGTAGTGTATGGTATGGTAGTGTACTGTATGGTAGTGTACTGTATGGTATGGTGGTGTACTGTATGGCAGTGTACTGTATGGTATGGTAGTGTACTTTATGGTAGTGTACTGTATGGTATGGTAGTGTACTGTATGGTACGGTAGTGTACTGTATGGTAGTGTACTGTATGGTATGGTAGTGTATGGTATGGTAGTGTATGGTATGGTAGTGTACTGTATTGTAGTGAGGGTATGGACTTTACTGTACTGTACTGTACTGTACTGTACTGTACTGTACTGTACTGTACTGTACTGTACTGTACTGTACTGTATTGTACGGCACATCGCCGCATCGTACGGCACAACCTCGTACCCAGGGCACTGTACTGTACACAGCCCAGCCATGTACGGCTGCATTGATTTTTCAGCTAGCTCCATCCCTAGCAACGAAAGATTTGTGATTATTAGCACTACCTACACAGACTGCTTTACTCTACAACACTGTACGCTTATATTACTCATTTTTCAACAAATAAAAACCAGAAAATGTACCATCTACCACATTTACGATATACAAGCAAAACGATAATCTCGAAACGTCAAACCACTCGCACACTGCCAATAGAAGAACTTTTCTTCGACATCATAGATGTTGTAAGTTCCATTGGTAGTGGAAATATGATTGTCGAGTTTTTTTCAGCTGCAATGGCGTTCAATGTTTGTAAATACCGTAGTTGTAGGGCATGAGGTGACTCTGCGATCACTTCCGCAGCTTCTTTCAAAGCACGAGACGAGTTCATTTCACCTTCAGCTGCGATAACCTACGAATAAAGAAAACCGTCAACGTCAATAAAGATATCTCAAACGTGGTGGTCCAGTGTAGATAGTAGAGAGGTTAAGAGTGAAGTTTACGGCACACCGGTAAACGTCAATTCGCATTTGAAGGTAAGTTCTTCCAGTTTCCGAAGGTTTCGACAAGTTTTTAGTCAATTCATTCTTCAATTTTAATGCACAAATTCTCCTAACTTCGAACAGCTTACAGTTGATCTGCCATGAAACGTCGTTACGTCAATCTTAATTACCTCTCCTTGTATTCTATGTAATACGTGTTTACGCTAGCGGAATTATGGAGCTTACTTTCGCTCTGGCTTCTCTCGCGGCCTCTGCTTCAGCCGCCATAGCTCTCTGAAGGTTCTGAGGAAGGCGCACATCTTTACTGTAAACCAAGGAAGGTAAAGATTTAATAGAATGTTTCCTTGAATCTCAGGTTCATTTTGGTTTCAGTGATCTTATACTCACACTTCTACGCGTTGCACTTGAACCCCCCAGCCTCTTGTTGGTCCCTCGAGAGTTGCCTGACGAGAAAGATGTGCATGAGATGAAATCACGAAGGAAGGAGAGGTGGGGGATAGGAGGAGAGGTAGAGGATGGGAGGAAGAGAGGAGAGGTAGAGGATGGGAGGAGAGGTGGGGGGTAGGAGGAAAGGTAGAGGATGGGAGGAAGAAGAAACAGATCTGGAAAGGGGGGAGACTGGGAGGGAGAGAGAAAGGCGAAGGTAGGGGTGGGGGTAAGAAGTGTGGGAGGAAGTGGGGAGAGGGGAAATAAGGGAGAAGAAATGGGAGATGCCAGGAAGGGAGAGAAAGATAGGAAGGAACAGAAGGGCGGGGTAAAGAGGGAGGGGGAAAGGTAGGGGAGAGAAAAAGGGGGAAGAAAGGAGGGTGGAAAGGAAGGAATAAGAATGAAAACGAAAGAAACACTTACTTACCTGAATATTATGGCTTATTGCTTCTCTCTCTGACAAAATCTCACTCAGACTTCTTGTTCCCAGAACATTACGTAGTGTGGTCTGTGCAAGAAATCTCGTCGCCCGACTGGCATTTTCTACCTTTGTTATAGACATTGTAGCATCATAAATCTTGTAGTACACAACAGCATCCACAGCCACTGTCACACTGTCTTTGGTGAGAATCTAATACAACAACAGTAATAACAATTTATCTTCCCTGGCTCCGCAATGCTCCCCTTGACAACTCTTCGCTACAAAACCCTAACTGACGTTCAATAATTTAACTTTAGATAGCAAGAGAAGCTCTTATTCGTTAAAGAAACTCACTTCTTGTGGTGGAACGTCAAACGACACAACCCTAAGATCAACCGCTTTGTACGTGTCAATACATGGTACGACAAAAAATAATCCTAAACGGAAAAACAGAATGTAATTTGGGGTGTTGGTGTTGAATGACCTTGAATATATAAGGGTTATAATTTCACCCCAGTGCATGCGCAGATCTTCCCTGGTTTCCTCAAGAAGTAATACTGGACTAATTAGAGATGGCCTTTATACTGGACCTCTAGCAGTATAAATAAAGTTAATTTAGTTCTTTTAGGTTTCACTCCTGTAGCAACACTGGATCAATAAGAGATATTTTTACTGGACTTCTATGGATAACAGTTCAGTACTGACAAAGCTATCCAGTATAAATAAACTTAGTTTAGTTTAGGTTTCCTCCTGTAGTAACACTGGATCAATAAGAGATGATCCTTACTGGACCTCTAGGAAGAACAGTTTAGAACTGATAGAGCTACCCAGTATAAATAAAGTTAGTTTAGTTTAGGTTTCCTCCTGTAGTAACACCGGATCAATAAGAGATGATCCTTACTGGAACTATAGGAAGAACAGTTCAGAACTGACAGAGCTATCCAGTATAAATAAAGTTAGTTTAGTTTAGGTTTCCTCCTGTAGTAACACTGTATCAATAAGAGATGATCCTTACTGGAACTCTTGGAAGAATAGTTAAGAACTGACAGAGCTATCCAGTATAAATAAAGTTAGTTTAGTTCAGGTTTTCTCCTGTAGCAACACTGGATCAATAAGATATATTCTTACTGGACCTCTATGTACAACAGTTCAGAACTGATAGAGTTATCCAGTATAAATAAAGCTAGTTTGTTAACATAGGTGTTAAACTAACTCTTTTAGGATTAGTTCAAGTCTGACTCCTGTGTTGTGATTCTGATAATACATACAACTGATAATGAACTAACCAGGTCCTTTGGCTCCCCCAGGAAGAAGACGACCCATTCGAAATATAACAGCTCTCTCGTACTCACGAACTATCTGAAAAATTAATATTCAACAGAATGTTCAGCGTGTTGATTAACATCTATCGATTGTGAGAGATGATTAAATCATTGCCTTGAAAACTTCCTCTTACCTTAAGCGAGAAGATCAGTGAAAATGGAAAAGTAAGGACGACGAGAACTAGAGATACTGCGGTCAGGATTAACGCACAAAACCCCAAATCCTCCGGATCAGAACTGGAAATCTCCTCTGCAACGAAAAAGATTTGAAATGAGTTTGCGAGGCAATTTAAACAAAACAAAACACTTTATACTGGATACCTTTATCAGTTTTAAACTGTTCTCCTTAGAGTTCCAGTAAGGATCATCTCTTATTGATCCAGTGTTACTACAGGAGGAAACCTAAACTAACTCTATTTATACTGGATAGCTCTATCAGTTCTAAACTGTTCTTTCTAGATGTCCAGTAAGGATCATCTCCTATTGATTCAGTGTTACTACAGGAGGAAACGTGAACTAACTTTATTTACATGTATACTGGATAGCTCTATAAGTTCTAAACTGTTCTCCCTAGAGGTCCAGTAAGGATCATATCTTATTGATTCAGTGTTACTACAGGAGGAAACATAAAATAAACTAACTTTATTTATACTGGATAGCTCTATCAGTTCTAAACTGTTCTTCCTGAAAGGTCCAGTAAGGATCATCTCTTATTGATCCAGTGTTACTACAGGAGGAAACATAAACTAAACTTTATTTATACTGGATAGCTCTATCAGTTCTAAACTGTTCTTCCTGAAAGGTCCAGTAAGGATCATCCCTTATTGATTCAGTGTTACTATACATACAGGAAGAAACCGGATTTAAACTAACTTTAGTTATATTTAATAGCTCTATCAGAATAAATTAGTCTTCCTAGAGGTCCAGTAATAAAGGACCATCTCTTATCAACTAACTTTATACCTTCAGTTTCGAACTTTTCATGCGCCGCGGAATTGTGAGAGTTCATAATGAAATGAAATGAAGAACGCGAGAAACAACATCAAAGGCAACGTTTGAGTGTTCAAAGAGATGCCAACTTTCGCTGTTATTCTTCGACGAACGCTTTGTCAAGTTCGTATCATTCGCTTTCCCGCTGCGTGCAATGCGTGTCACGCTGAGGGGATATAATTGCTGGACACGCGACAGCTGATTTCCTCCATAGCAAGGTCTTTGTAGCAATAAGCTTATCATGGTTTGTGTCTGAGCTACCTCAACAAGATATCTCACACGTGGAGGAGATTTTCAGGTATAGTGGTTTAGATACAAACATGCACGGCTGCTTATTGTAGAATATATAGACACCTATATACACTGAAGCCCAACGTTTGAGATATCTTTCTAAGATAGTTCAGACACAAACCATGACAGCCCCATACAGCCGAGCAAGTTTTCCCTGACAAGCTTATACTTTCTCGTGTGTATGGTCTGTTGCTCTGTTGTTTGTGTGCACGGGATGTTGTTAAACATTTGTCGATCTCACGTCAACACCGCCTTTTGTTTGCCAAAACCATAAAAAGTATAGTTGGTGTACTCTTATCAAGTTTGGCGGCCGTACACACGAAGAATTTACCTTGACCAAAAGCTGGAAGGACTAGTTTTCGTACAAGACTCCCTAGCAAGGAAAAATTGTCAACTTTTGCCATACGCACGAGCAAATACAACTTGTCAAAGTAAACTTGTCAAGGAAAATTCATCTGTACCGATGCTTTACTGTAAGCAAATTCGTAAGCTGCTTTATTGAGATATCTTTTTCAGGTAGTTCAGACACAAACCACGATAATTAATTGACTTGTGGAATACTTCCTACACTTGATCTTTCATCTTTTACTCTATTCATTACGACTGGTGACCACTAACCTTCATTATTCATTGCTCTTCTCTCTTCCACGCTAATTCCTCGCTCCATTTTCAAGTTTCACTACAACAAAACCTCAAAGCTTGAAATATTAATAACTTGGCTAAAATTGTAGAAACTGATTTTGCATTTTTCTCTGTGAATCTCCTAAAAGTACACCGATAAAGGAGAATTTTAAATAATAGTGTGACAAATTCTCTTGTTTTGAGTTCATTCACCTGCTCTTGATCAAAAAGCGTATGCAAATTTAGTCGAGTTGTTTTCAAAACAAATTTCAACCGCTCAACACATGAAAGATTAAGACAATTTGCATTTAAGAAACATATGGCGTTGCAACGTATGCGATTAGGTAGGTTCAATATATATTTACATAGCGAGGGATATTGTAAAACACAACCCTTATTTATTGTTGCAACGCTTTCGATCCGGAAAGCTGAGACCTCAGTTCATGTATTATTGTATGGACTAATGAAGATTAGGGCTTATGGACCACGAGTTCTGCCCCCAATAAATATACGTGGTGTTTTAGGCAAAAACAGATTAATTATACGTGACAACGCCGGACAAAGCTCTTCGTTTAAAATGTGTAAACACGATTTACATGCGCGGCACTTCCGGACGGGAAACAGGAATGTATCTGAACAAATTCAGTAATATTTCCCATAAAGTGTAATTCCGGAACAATGTTTCGTGGTTTGCCTAACTTTGAAAAACATGACTATAGGAGACCATTTTTTACAAATTTATTATGAATAGCCAACTAACAGATGTTCGCAATGAATATAGCAAGAAACAGCTGAAGCAATATCATCTTATCATCAAGATATTCACAGTATTTCATAGTATGTTAAAGCAAGCATATTAAGATCGGCTATATCCTATATCAAGCAGAATTGCACATTATGCTCTTTTATAGTATTAATAGTTCAAAAAATCCTACAAATTTTATTCAAATAACTAAACTGGCCTACCTACTCTATAAGTTACAAAGTCATTCAAGCTTTATATTCTCGTATGTTTTTCTTCACTTGTTCCACCATGTTGGAGACAATCCTCATGAATTCTTTAACATCAAACGCAAAATTTCTAAACTTTAGATTATCTCCATACTTGTCGTGTTTATTCTAGAAGAAGACAAACGGATGATTTATAATTTAGTTTTCTTCGTCCTCATAACGGCAGCAATTAAGGTGACTGAATGATTCCAGCTATATAGACTAAAATTTGATCTTGGCAAGAAGAACGAAACCCATTACCATAGCTGGAAAGAGCATCTTAAAATGAGTAAAATTGTAAAGTTTGGTTGTGAAATGTTGTAAAATGAGGAAAATATAGCCCTGTGAAGTTCGCAAATTTTGGATGTATTTGCATCAAGGCGCGGGAATAACCTTATTTTTACCGTGTGTAATACAAATACAATGTACATGTAGCCTATAGGCTATATATAAAATTTGCGAACTTCACAGGGCTATATTTTCTTCATTTTACAGCATTAGCAACCATGCAATCGTTGCAGTTTTACTCATTCTAAGAGGCTCTTTTTCGCTGTGGTGTTGGATGTCGTTCTCAGTATTATACCTACCTGTATATAGATAAGAATTTAGTCTATACAGTAGCTAGAATCAACCATTATACTTCGTCCATTTTTCATTTAAAATAGCTTGGGATGTTTTACCTCCGTTCTTTCAACCAACTTTTCTTCATTTTCCCAAGTGTAGTAATTCAATCCTCTATTAAAAAATATCACAACAATTATTAGCAAAAAATAATTATTTTCCGACCTACACCAATATTTTTTTTCAAGATATGAAACTGGACCCATGACATAATATTTTTGTCTCTGGAACTTACCTTAACCTTGCTAAATCTTTGTAACAATTCTCATCCCCACAATTGTATCTATACAATACAATACGATAAACAAATACAAATATGTTCTCTGTTCTCTCAGGGGTCCAGTGAAGACTTTTTACCTTATTGCTCTATATATGTAAACCTAAACTAAACTAACTTTATTTATACTGGATAGCTTTACAGTATCAGTTCCAAACTGTTCTTCCTAGAGGTCCAGTAAGGATCATCTCTTATAGATCCAGTGTTACTACAGGAGGAAACCTAAACTAAACTAACTTTATTTATACTGGATAGCTCTACAGTATCAGTTCCAAACTGTTCTTCCTAGAGGTTCAGTAAGGATCATCTCTTATTGATCCAGTGTTACTACAGGAGGAAACCAAACTAAACTAACATTATTTATACTGGATAGCTCTATCAGTTCTAAACTGTTCTTCCTAGAGGTCCAGTAAGGATCATCTCTTATTGATCCAGTGTTACTACAGGAGGAAACCTAAACTAAACTAACTTTATTTATACTGGATAGCTCTACAGTATCAGTTCCAAACTGTTCTTCCTAGAGGTTCAGTAAGGATCATCTCTTATTGATCCAGTGTTACTACAGGAGGAAACCAAACTAAACTAACATTATTTAATATACTGGATAGCTCTATCAGTTCTAAACTGTCAATACTAAACATCAACACTGCCACCTTGTCTTCTTTCATTCTCTATAAGATTTCTTTCTCTTATCATCCACTCACTTACACTTCAAAGACAGCTGCCCAATCAGGCATGAATAACATGTGTGTCAGGCCAGCACCATGCATGCCAATAAATATGTCGAGGTTATGACTTGTCTGTGAGAAATGAAACAAAATACAAAATACATCGCTCACTCAGCAACGAGTAGAGCAGTTCAAAACCTGTGCGAAATTTACAACAAAATTGCAAGTTTGAGTCAAAAGCATTTTGTTTATAGATTCTCTCGTTGTTCCGCTTGTAGAGACTAAAGCCTGTTTTATACGTCGAATTTTAGACGCGTCGAATGCAATTAAGACAATAGATAATGAGATGATAAATCTCATTAAGCTTCATTATCTATTGTTTGAATTGCATTCGACGCGACCGAAATTCGACGTACAAAACAAGCCTTAAGGCCCACAGAGACCGGACGCGATTCGGCAACGCGACGCGAATTTTTAGTTTTCAAAAACAAATAAAACCGTCAACGGATAAAAATTTTACAAGATATGCAGACCAAATAGCTAAAATTGGCGAAGAGGTTCCGAATATTTGAAAAATATTGAAGTTAAATGTCATTGAAAAGTGAAAATTCGTGTCGCGTTGCCAAATCGCGTCCGGTCTGTATGGACCTTTAAGGCGGTTTTCGACAAGCGAATATTTTCGCGCGAAGCGACCTTTTTCCTTTGTCGGTATCAACTTACTACGTCACCAAGATGTGGCAAAGTAGATGCCGACAAAGGAAAAAGGTCGCTTCGCGCGAAAATATTCGCAAGTGGAAAATGGGCTTTAAGGTTATTTCCACCAACTTACTGACAATAAAACGATCTCCTAAGTGATATTCTTACCTTCAGTTGATCCAGAAAAGGCATCTTCCTAAAAAGGAATAAATAAATGGAGAAGCAGTCCTAGAACTATAGACAAAAACTGAATATTCTTCACTGACCAGTTGTAGTTGAGTACTTCAAACTTAGTGCCAGGGAGTCCTTGCAGCGCTTCTTCAATCTATATATATATATAACAAATACACTGGATGGATTGCTTTTCCTATGCAGATATAATACACCTCACTATCTATGTTGTCTTGGTTTTATGCAAAAAAATAGTCGGTTCGTTGTCACGTGTGTATTGCACAGGGTGTATAAAAAAAAAGGTAATCGAACTTCAGCACGCTATTATACGTGAATTACTCTGCGTATGAACAATTGGTTTTCATATTCAGAAAGATTAGGCTTTTAGCTATTGAATGACATGCTTTTTATGCCAAGTGGAGAAAAAATAAGCATGTACGAGGCCGATTAAAAATGTTAGTCAAAATCGCATATTTTCACCTCTGTGCCTAATTAAAACAATGCATAACAAAAGAAAAAAGCAATTAATCACTAACGTGTCGTAGCTTAGCTAAGATTTATTCCTACTTAATAATAATTATGAATATGTGCGTCGTTTAATGAAGTGAAATTCATCAACTTAAGTACCAAAGGGAGTTCAACTCTCAACGATGAAAATATGCGATTCTGACTAAGATTTTTTATCGGATTCGTATTTGCTCATTTTTTATCCATTTGGCATGAAGAAGATATCATTCAACAGCTAAAAGCATGATCTTCCCAAATGTGAAAAAATCTCGTTCATACGCGGAGGAATTCAGATACAATAGCGCGCTGAAGTTCGATTACCTTTTTTTTATACACCCTGTATATTTCGCCCAACCAACCAATATCAGTGTGGTGGTTTAATCATATAGTTAATATATATGACATGGTTTGGAAACCCTTTGTTTTAGGTGATTGTGTACCTTGTGCAGGGTCACGGTTGAAAAATCCTTTGTCTTTCTATTGTTTGACAATAGTCAGTTCAGAAAGCTTGGCGAAGGGAATGGGTACCAAGTATTTGTTTTGCCTACCAGGGCTATATCTTATGGCATATTGTGCAAATAACGAAGTATTACCACCATTTTGCGATGGAGTATGTCTGTGTTACATCGTTTGGTCAATTCTCGTTGATTAAAACCAATATGTGCAGGGTCAAACTGACTGTTCAACCTCCATGTTTGTTTATAGCGTAATTTCTTTGAAGTTTGCCGGGTTTCCTAACCAGGTCTTATAACAACCATGGTTTAATTGCCCAGTCGTGATATCACAAAATAGTTAAATCAAAACATACAGTAGCTATTGGTTGCTCTGGCGAAAATACAATACACACGTGACCATTTCTTGCATAAACTAAGATAAAGATACTGAAGTCTATTACGTCTGCATCGAGTTCTTATACTATTGACTATAATATGCCTCCACAAGCCCTACCTCTTGTTGATTCAGTATCTGTCTATAAGCGGTTCCTCTGGACAGCAAACCGATACGAATTGGTTCATCTATGTCCTAATAACAACGGGAAAAATTTTAAATTTATATACTGCCTTAGTTTTATATTCATTTCATTTTTTCTACATAACAAATTTCATTCCTTGTTGTTATTCCATACCGTAATATTTTTTTCTTGTTTAATATCTAGTCTTTCCATAAGAAAACGGTTAAAAGCTTTGAACAATCCAGTTTTGAAACAACCCGGAACCTAGCAAACGTTAATAGACAGGTGTCAAGCCAACATTTCATTTAAAAAAATACTACAAAGACGAAACAGTTCGGCTGTGTTTACAAAACTGACCAGAGGAGTGTTGTAGAAGAGTCCAAACACCATTCGTGGTAATAACGCGAATATGGCTTCTTTAAAACAAACCTAAAATAAACAACAAGATCAGCACCACATCTGATGACTGATATGTTTCGTTACTCTGCTTTAAGTAAATGAATGTAATGAGAACCATCATGACTTCAATGGAGACAATGGCAGCTATCTTCCACCTTTTCATCTTCTTGGACGCTACATATTGGAATTGTTTTTTCAAAACCCTTACTTCAAAATCCGATTTCTATATTTATTGCCATTTCCAAATTCTGGATATAGTATTGAAATAATGTGGAAATACTGTGGATTTAATAGTGCAAATATATTTTCCATAGAATGGATCAATTGTTCTTCACTGGTGACGTCATCCCCCGAGTGTATAAGAAGGAAATGAGGTTGTGATGAGCCCGGATGAAGACAATAGACTGGAGTGTTGAAACGTTGGGTCAGGAATCCATCGATCCTACATTAACAACCAAAATACAACAGGGGACGAAAATATTTCTGAAATTTCAATTTTATTCTCACCCTTTTATCCCTATACGCCTCTCCCAAATAAATAATTTCATTGTCAGTAAACGCTGGCCATGTCGCTCCAAAATTGCCAAGACTGTTTCTTCGCGACTGTAGAAATTAATGAAGTTAAATGACGCTGTACTATTACACCAGAAATAGAACATCTATGAGAGCTCATCATCTGTCTGATGGATCAATAAACACAAGATAAACTATGCCAGATAAACCAGCTACAATAGGGTGATCTAGCGTATACTGGCAATGGTTTTGGGAACAAATCATATCTAATATCTTCCTGATAGTTCGTCTAATGTCGTTTTTATACACACAGATCGTCCGTCAAGACAAACTACAAGCTACGCATCTTAACGTCAGATGATGTCTGCTGCTCTGGAACACATGTCACATACAATTAGTACAAGCTAAGCTGGAGAGTTTTTGCGTGTAATTAATGTAACCTACTGTACCTCTTCCCATAGCACAATATTTATATCTTTACTGAACGAGCCATTTACGTGAAAAGTCAAGTAGAGGTTGAAATAGTCGCAGAAATGATGATACAAGTTAACGGCTAGAAAACGATAAATTCACCTTCATCAGAATTCGTCATGAGCATCAAGGGACCAACAAGTATGCAGTCAAAACGTGTGAACATTTTCCTTAGATACCGGTCATAAAGTGACTGCTAGGGTGGGCTGGAGTGATTTGGGATGGGCCAAGGAAAATCTTTGGGCAGTTTCGATGGGCCGCCAATTTTTTTGTATGTCCACGGTTGGGCCACCAAACAAAAACCAATATATTATATAAAGATATTAATAATAAAAGTAAACAAAACTATCCAAATTATCAAATGCAAATGATGCTATTGAAGCCAGTACTTTGTTTTATACAACAACAAGAGGTGGTCGAATCACAGCAAATACAACCAAATGGAGAACAGCTCAGTATCGTAATTGGTGATGAATGTGTCGGTCAAGCTTGGTGCAATTATATATGTCAATACAGTGCCAGTGTATATTTACAATGTTCATACCTTCAAGTATTTGTTTTATAAAAGTGTATTTTCCTAATTTAGATTGGGTGGGTGGGTCATGAAATAAATTTGGTAAGATTAGATGGGCTTTGAAATTTTTATCTACATCCTAAGATGGGTCACCAAACTTATTGGAAAAATATGTGATCTACCTCCAGCCCACCCTAGCAGTTACTTTATGACCAGTCCCTTATATTCTCAACAAATCAAAACCACTGGGGGTGGGAATATAGTTCTCTGGGGGCTGGAGAAATTTGGCCCCCTCAGTTTATTTGTTAAAGTCAGCTTAATGGTCTGTTACGTTTGAAAAAATCATGCCATTGTCATACTTGCATCTAATTTCATAAAATAGGTTGGTTTCTCCACAATCACATCGCAATGACCATCGTTTATAGGATGAAAGGACAAAGATGAATATTTTTCAATTTGAACAATCCTAAAAGCAATCACAATAAATTATTAATTATTAATATTTAATGAGAGAGTTTTGGCATTTGAAATTGAAAACGGAGTTCTGGCTTTTGAGAACTGAGAAGTTTTGGCATTTGAAAACTGAGTTTTGGCATTTGAAAACTTTAAGGGAGTTTTGGCATTTGAAAAGGGAGTTTTGGCATTTGAAAACTGAGTTTTGGCATTTGAAAAGGGAGTTTTGGCAATATTTGAAAAGGGAGTTTTGGCATTTGAAAAGGGAGTTTTGGCATTTGAAAACTGAGTTTTGGCATTTGAAAACAGAGTTTTGGCTTTTGAAAAAGGAGTTCTGCCTTCTGGCTTTTGAAAACTGCGTTTTGCCATTTGAAAAGCCAAAACTCCAAAAAGGAGTTGTGGCATTTGAAACTGACAGAGTTATAGCATTCAAAAACAGAGTTTTAGCATTTGAAAAATTGTTCTGGCATTTGAAAAATAATGAGATGAAAGTTTATAAAAAAAAAATTAATATCAATAATGGAAGAAAATTCCTTACCAAGTTGAAAGTGACATACGATGTGCCTTTGTATTCGTCATTGCTGATGGATTGTAGTGACAATGTCCTCCAATTTGACCATCTTTAAATGGGTTTTCTTTCAGCCTATCATGAAAGTAATTTTGATTCAAGTACAAATTTAAACAATTCTACTTTGAAAATAGCAGTTGTTCATTATTACCATCCATGCGGGTCAGATGAGTGATTTCTTAAATCAAGGTACAAGTTCTTGGCTCGACAGTATGCCATGTTGTTGGAGCACATGAATGACGAATCATCCTAATTTATAACAAGAAGATTGTATTTCTAAACTAATGGTTATAGAACTGGCTGTTGCACATATATAAACAAGCTTTTTCGTTGGTATATAGGGATGTACTGTAACTACCCAAAAAATATGTCAAGAGGATTTTCTCTGACAACTATATATGCATGGTCGACTGTATGTGAAATATACAGAATGGTTCTGATAGGTTTTTATTGCTTCCTGTTAAGTGCATGACAATCTGCCCTACTTTATTATTTTACTTTGTCTAAAGCCAGACAATTTTACTCGTCAGGTGGGGAGTGCTGCTACTGAATGGGTTAATAAATCTTCTATCTTTTCATTCAAGCTACAAATTTAAACAATTCTACTTTGAAAATAGCAAATTCTCCATATATATTTTATACTATTGTATGTGCTGGGACAGACAGTTCAAAATTGTTACACTGCATACACCATGATTGACTATTATGGTCATATACCTGGTCATGTGCTTCACAGACAGTGGCTAAATCATCTTGAACTTTTTTAACAAATCCAAAATCAGCCGTTCTCCACCATGCATGCATCTTCTCATCGACACTAAGTGTGTGAACAACAAATAATATAACAAATACAAGAAAGGATGAATGAGCAATCACAAAACCTGCAATACTTCAATCTATGTTTACGGCCAGTATACTGACTGAAGGACCAGGGTGCATTTTAAGTGTTATACGTCGAAGATCTTCAGCGTGGACTTCAAAAGCTATCGACATACTGGCATATGCTTGTAGTCTTTTGAGCGTACTCGCATATGGCGAATAGTGTCTGGCCAAATTTTGTCCAAATTGGATTCCAGACTTGTTACAAAAGGCGCAGCAAACAAGTGAATAACGATCAATTTTAAAAATAAAATTACGACAGTAATAAGATGTTCTTTTGAAAATCGAAATTAACACTTTGTGATACTGTCATGAAGTACATTCTAAAGCTTGGCGTGTAATTTCAATGTCAGCTGTTGAATTTGAACTTTTTCTTGTGTCTTGTTGTGACTTCATCGAGTGCCGGCGTATCTTCGGGGTGACCTTAACATAAAATGCACCCTGGCTGATGGATGGATACTGTAGATCAACCAACAGACTGTTTGTCGACCATTTGGTTGACACACTGACAGAACCATCACAATGACCAACACCCTAGCTGACTGACTGTGTTTGGAATTAGCAATTTCAGAAGAATATATTACACTGATTTAATTAATATTTAATACTTATATCGTCTTTGATTTTTTCAAATCTCCTCATACCTTTTAAACCGTTGGTACCCTTGCTCGTCATTGCATTCAGGTTTTAGATACCAGCGACTGGAATCTGCACATCCCTTTTCATACCCCCAACAATGGCGCTGAAATGACATTTCATTTCATCAATATTTCTATGCCTTTTCGGCTTTGTTAGAAACTCTATATTCATGTGGCCAATTGTGGTCAGTAAGGCCTGTATTAATAAGAGTCATTGTCCCCTGGATGTGTTACAGGAGGAAACCTAAATGAAACTTGAATTTGACATATGTTTATAATTAATCGAGTATCTCCAAATTGGGAAAGCTAACAATGAAACTGCTTTGGAATCAAACCTGTGACCTTTGGCTCGCCAATTTTTACAGCGAAAGGTCATAGGTTCAATTCCCACTGCTGACAATCTGCTGTCAAGCAATTTTTTAGCTTTCTGTGTTTGGTAGATTCAAACCAAAAGAACTCTTCTCTGACAACATACTGTATTTCAGCTAGGAAGTAGGAATTGCTCAATTGCACCTCGACTACAGAGATTGATATAAGATAAAACACTTACATCAATCATATTCTGATTTCTGTTAATTGATATATTTAGGATTTATTTAATCCATATACCAACCTTATTTTGACAAGATAAGTCGTCATTCTCGCAAACCTCTCCTCCAAAATGCTTCCCAAACATGGATGGCCCAGCGTCACTCATACAATACGGCAAGAAACATTGAAACAACCCCAATATAAATACATACAACATACGTTCCATGTTTATTTACCAAATTAACACCACTACCAAATATAATTTTACCTCATATAAATAAATATTTTTATGACTCTAATTATGTCGACCATTATATTAAATTGTGGAGAAATGCATACCAATTTAGCATTCCTGCGACATAACATTAATTCCATTTAATTTCATTGGATAAAAAACAAAGTAAATCACAAAGCGAAACCAGTTTTTACAAAACAAAACTATTAGAAAACAATTTAAATTTCAAAACATCATTACACCCGATTCGCACGTGGAGCCAGCCTCCTGCCATGCGCGTGATGAAGACTGCTATGAGACTCTGCGGATCTCTAGAGATAATAGGGTTGTTTGTTTATATGGTCTTCATGTAGATTTCAGGGCATTTTTTAAGAAATTACAACTACTGGGACTAAGTCTCAATGAGGGCCTTTTCCCCACACAGTTTATACGGGTACACAAAAATCACTCTGTGCTCAGGGGCAGCGCTAGCGCTATTTGAATAGGCAGCTGAGTTGAGTTAAAGTGCCATATTGCCTACTAATTTCAAACACTAATTAGTATTTCTTTTCATCCAATTGGGATTAAATAATTTGCCAAATACCTGACCATTGGGGGTGTTGCACACCCACAACCCCCTTTTAGCACCGCCCCTGAATCTGAGAGAATATCAGAATGCAGGCAGATGCAGCTTTTTCAGCAAGGTTAACCTTTTACTAATGATCAAACGGGCCCAGCTCATCTGAAAATCATGCTTCACTACTGGGGCAAGCAAAGGGCCTACTGGGGGAAATGCCCCCAATTAAAAACGATTCATAATACAACTAGATAAATATACTTAAATATAACATTAGACTTTTTCGCTACAATTGCAGTGAAAAGGGTTAAAGGTGATCTACAGTCCGATCTGCGCATGTGCACAAATGAGCCCACTTTTTATGATACAAACAGTTTAACTATGTTTTGAGTTCTTGAAAAGTCTGATTGTTGTTTCTTGATCATTTATTCATTTATTATACTCTAGAAGCTTGAAAATATAAATTGTTGTCGAATAAAGCTCAATATTTTGGACACAAAAATGTAAACAAAAGCTTTGTTTACATACAGACTGTAGATCAAAGAAATTATGAATGTTGAAAATTGATCAGAAGATCAGCTCTCTTCAATAAACGAAAAAAATTTGGAAGTCATATCATTGAAAGTCTCGGTAGTCAACTGGAAACACACGAGGTTCGGAATGAGACGGAGCTGGTCGGAAACAGGTCGGAGTATGCGCGTTTGCAAAATTCAAGATGGTGGATCTTGAGGAGTGGTTAAAATTTAGCGACTAATAATTGATTTTAGCATGGTTTTATCAAGAAATTATTCATTATTTAATGACTAATTTGAGCAAGCTTATTTAGTTCTACTTTCTGTTATAATGCCGTTACCAACAGTTTTTATACGACAATTAGACGGCCACCAAGGGCCTGTTAGAGCTGTCCGATTTAATGTGAATGGTAACTATTGTGTGACTTGTGGCGGTGATAAATTTTTAAAATTGTGGAATCCGTACACTGGAGTACAGTTAAAGAGCTATGGTGGCCATGGTTATGAAGTATTAGATGCAACAGCCTCGGACGATAGTGCTCGGATAGCATCGTGTAGTGCCGACCGGACTGTGATACTCTGGGATGTCTCCACTGGTCAGATTGTTCGCAAGTTTCGAGGTCACATCAGTGTGAGTATTGACAGACTATCTGTAGAGAGGCTCCAGATGAACTATCTACTCAGAGAGCTTTGGATTGATAGGGATCAACTACCAGAAAAATACAAGGAGAACTTTGCCGTGTTTCAAGCAGCCTTTCATTGGGTAGTTACTAGCTAGCAGCTACCCTCTCCAAGAAGGCCCTACTAACTTCTCAACAAAGGGCCTTCACTTTCATTTTTTATGTAGTTCTACCAATTTGAAGCTTTCTTATTGCGGTATTGGCGCAAACTACCAGGGGCGAAACTTGAGGGGGGTATGGGGGGGGGGGTGTGTGACACCCCCCAAAATATGAATCAGGGCAATCAAAGATTTTAAATGATAGAATGTAGAGTCACAGGGCTTATAAACCTAAATTTGACAGATATTGGTCCAAAAATAAGGGTTTCACCCATGTCTTAACAGGAATTTGTACGGAAAAAATTTTTTGACCCTTAACCCATTAAGTGCCAGTGCTTTCCCCTTGACGAGTAAAATCGTCTGGCATTAGACAGAGTAAAATACTAAAGTAGGGTGCATCAGGGTGCAATGCAACTCAATGGGTTAACTAGACACATAGGCAGATAGGCCAGTTAACCCATTAAGCGCCAGCGCTCTCCCCTTGATGAGTAAAATCGTCTGGTGTTAGACAGAGTAAAATACTAAAGTAGGGTGCATCAGGGTGCAATGCGACTCAATGGGTTAATTTAACTGGTTTAGTGGTTTATGTCCAGAAAAATTTTTTCGACCCTTTTTTTTTCAACCCTTTTTAGCAGGGCAATTCTGGCAGACACCCCCCAAATTAAAAGGAGCTAGTTTTGCCCCTGGTAACTACGCTGACATAGACCCGTTCAAGATAATATCTGTACTAACTACAGTAGTTATAATGTTGAGTCATATCCATTTGACGGATCATCCATTCTGAAAGCAAAACAAACTAGTTATCCCATTAATGCATAGGATAAGATGATCTATACTCTGAATGGTTCTAGTAACAAATGAAGTCCAATACTTCCCTGATATTTTGTTTTCAAATTTTGTAATATACAGAGAGTTAACTGTGTTCAATTCAACCGTCCTGACTGCTCTTTGGTCATGTCGGGATCATATGACTCGACTGTTCGCATTTGGGACACAAAATCTCGAAATATGGAACCAGTTCAAATCTTAGATGAAGCCAAAGACAGTATAACGTCACTTCACGTGTCTGAGCATGAGATATTGACAGGGTAAGTGGAACTTGTGCTAATTAATGAGCCAATAGCAGTGGTTAATGCAAGAGCCTTTGAGGTTTAGTTCTGCCTCAGTCACACATATGCAAATTAGATCAGTGCTAACAAACACCAAAGATTTTCTCAGGTAGTAAAGGGATACCGGTATGACATTTATGGACCTCTAGGGAGAACAGTTTATAAAACTGACAGAGCTATCCAGGAGAAATAAAGTTAGTTTAGTTTATAGGTTTCCTCCTGTAGTAACACTGGATCAATAAGAGATGATCCTTACTGGACCTCTAGGAAGAACAGTTTAGGACTGATAGAGTTATCCAGTATAAATAAAGTTAGTTTAGTTTAGGTTTCGTTTTGCAGTAACACCGGATCAATAAGAGATGATCCTAACTGGACCTCTAGGGAGAACAGTTTAGGACTGATAGAGCTATCCAGTATAAATAAAATTAGTTCAGTTCATTTGTTTAATGTTCATAGATCAGTGGATTGTAACGTGCGTCGCTACGACATCAGGATAGGAAGAATGACAGCAGACCACATTGGGCAACCTGTGACATCTGTAACATTATCAAAAGATGGTCAATGTGTTTTGGTTTCTTCTCTTGATAACACTGTTAGATTGTTGGACAAAGAAACGGGTGAATTACTGAATGAGTATGTTTGGTTCTGATCTATAGCATGTAATAAAATAAACACCGTTAATGGTAAAGTTTAATCTACAGTAGGTCCAATCAACGGTGAATTTTAGCAAACTTGAAAACTCCCAGCCTTCACGCAAACCGACACCAGCTTGGCTTGGTTGTTTTTTAAGCTAATTACAAACGTTGGTCTTTAAAACAATTGTTATTACGACTATTTCTTTAAATAATTACAATTTTTATCTAGCTTCAAAGGTCATAATAATGAGAAATACAAAGTAGACTCGTGTCTGTCACACACAGACAGTGAAGTGGTCAGTGGAAGTGAAGATGGTCGAATCTGCTTCTGGGATTTGATTGAAAGCAAACTCGTACACGCCATTGAGAAAGCACACAAGACCACAGTGTATTCATTGTCGTATCATCCCGAGCAACCGATCATGCTCTCAGCTTCGTCGGATGGAAAAGTGAAATTGTGGAAAGATAAAGCGGAAGAGGAATGACGATTAAATATCGAACATTTGGACCAGTTTTGAACCCTCGCTAGCTTCCTGATGCTCATCTTATTAAACGTTATTCATAGGACAATTTTTTCAACCAACTTGTAAAAAAAAAAAAAAAAAAAAAAAACTTCCTTCGGTATCCGTAATAACCCTGTTTTTTTACCAAAATAACGTCTCACCGACAAAAAGTCAATATTGATTAAAGCACAAATTCATTTTCGGCATCCTTGGTGTATCAACACTCAATCAACTTTGTCATGAATTACCTTGGAAACCGCGAATTGTTTCCGAGCAGCTCATTGTAAAAATATTTGAAATGATCTCAGAATACGAGCAGTCGATCAAGATATTGATCAATCTATTTGAACGTGTATACTACATTTTTAGCTGTACATTTTTTATGACACCAAATACTGTACAATTATACGTAATATATATGTCGTGCAGGTTGTCTAACTAAATGCAAAGCATGCAACTGCTCTTAAATGGAAATTGAAGTGTTTCCGAGTTGCCCACTTGTCTTGATGTTGTGTTTTAAAACATAATTGCAGGCTCTTCACCGCGTAGGTCTACTTAACTAATATTTAAGAACAATATAATTACCGCCCCCTCACAAATTCCGTCTTCCCCACCGAGTGGGCAAATTTCCGCCACGACCAATTTCGCTAGGAGATTGTCAACACTCAATAGAGTTCACTCGTACACAGAAAACAGCAAAATGTGTACAAACCACAGCAATACATCAGAAACGGTTCATCACGAAATGGCTTGGAGAGCACATTGGATTATGTTTAGCAGTCTATTTTTCATTACTGGCTGTTTTTCAAGTGTGTTATTATTGAAAGCAATTCAACGTTCACCAGAGTTGACGCGGAGTTATCGTCTATCTGTATTCGCAATGGTGATAATATTATGTGTATCACGTACGGTGTATCTTTTGCTCAACCCTTACGAAGTCGGGAAAGCTTTGCTCAACGATACTCCCGTGATTATATTACGTTTACTCTACGCTCTTGGTCAGCCTTCGCTAACTGCTGGATTTGGTCTCATCCATGCTTCGTTTCTTAAAGTTGCCAAGGCGAGAAACTATGAACACGAGCCCTTGTTAAAGACCCGTACAATTCTCATCATAGTTGGACTGTATTTTACATTTGGAGTTATAAGTGAAGTTATTACCCTAGTTCTGCGTAGTATGAGGACTATGTTGGCGGTATCAGCGAGCGTTGCTGTTGTCGGCTGTGTAATTGTGACAGTTACTGTTGCCTATAGTGGATTACGGATTCTAAGAAAAGCGACAGAAAATAAACGTGTGTTAAGCTTGTCAGGGAATTCTCTATCAGGTTGGTGGGGAATGTTTACGAAATTTTTCGTTAATTCTCGAATGCTATCACAATGGGTGGCAGGGTGGGATCACATGATTAAGCCCCCGCGTGGCTTTCTCGATGCTAACCTGCTCTTCTTCGAGGACCAGTAAAGCTGAGTTTACACACAGCGATCAGTCAGGCCGATTTCAAGTTTTGCCGAATTTTAATGACGAATGTTGACTATCACTTGACGATGTCTTCAGATGATATTAACAGCTAATTTTTCAAATATCGTTTAGTTATGTACTTTAAGGACCGCGGCTCAAATTGTTGCAGGTTTAACTCATAGTTTGAAATTTCGACTGTAAAATAATAAAATTTCCGCGAAATCTCCATCCACATGCAAGAACATTTCTGTGGAGTGAGCTGCCTAAAATCTCGTGATATTCGATATTGTGCTTTCCTGTGTCTGAGAACATGAACAATTAAAACCAAATGAAGCGATACTTCAGAGCGACTTAAACAGACCTTTAATTAAACACACCGCCAATGATCAACCCTCAAGTCCTTAATTCCCTTAATGCATTATATAGAACACTTTGTCGGCAGGTATACTGAAGACTAATTTGCCGTTAACGGACATAAATAATTAACCTAATTACTTCTTCACTCACTCATTGCCTTTAGCTTTGCCGCCGTTACAGTTAATAGTTATATACTAATTGCGTGAGAGCAGATTGCACGAGATAATTACATTGAAACGAGATTTACAGCTCTTAATGTTTGGGAAGAAATTTGAAAACAATAACCGTTGGACGGTAGTTTTATCGTAGGAGGGCCATGCAGTGAGGATAATCTCTTATTGATCCAGTGTTACTACAGGAGGAAACCTAAACTAAACTAACTTTATTTATATTGGATAGCTCTATCGAAGCACGCTTTGAGAAGCAGCGCTCAAAAAGAATCAAAATTTACCGTAAATACTCCAATTGATAAAAAGAACATGAATGCCTCTAAAGTTAATGAAACACCAAGCAGATTGCCAGGAAAAAACGGAGTTCTAAACTGTTCTTCCTAGAGGTCCAGTAAGGATCATCTCTTTTTGATCCAGTGTTACTACAGGAGGAAACTTGAACTATTTTTCAGGATAGACTGTTTTCCCCCTATACCAATGTAGTTCGCCTAGCATGCCCGTTCGCAAGTTAAGATTTCCTATACTGGAAATCCAGTGTGGAAGAGGAAAGCCAATTAAACACTGAATAAGTTTATCAGTTCTGAACTGTTCTCCTTGAAAGTCTGTCAAGTGCAATCCCTATAGGCTATAATTTTTGTAGTTTTACTACCGCAGAAAACAAGGGCGCCACTTTATACATATACAACAAGCAAACTGATTCGTAGTTCATCTTTATTCCAGCTTCAAGAGAACAACTACAAAAAGCGAAATCGATCGCAAAAGTTGCAAGAGTCACTCTGGCTGCGTCGACATTTTGTATTGGCCTAACCATAGCGAACAGTATTGCATTTGTGAAAATGTTTAATTCAATGAGTAGCGTCACTCACTGGAATAACGACTGGCAGTTTATTTCATTTGTAACCTGTGTTCGTCTACTTGAAATTGCAATGGCAGTGACATTGATCTATGCGTTGTCTCATACAAATATGAAATTAAGGAGGGTTTTAGGTCTTTATCGCTTTACAAGAAAATTGCAGATGGCGGATCCACGGCCGATGAAGAGTGTGGATACCGGATACGCGGATACATGGAAGTCGACGTCTTCATACGCCAGTACTGGAAGTACGAGACAGTTTATAGAGTAGATTATTCAGTGTACACAACATCACCTTTCATTTTGATTTTATTTACTATGTATATATTACAATAAAAAGAAATGTACGATGAATGAACTGTCTATCGATTTATCTAATTTTATATGTCGCTTATCTCTGCGCGTGCGTGGCTATTGGTAGTTAATTGCGTAATGGTAACGAGTTTCACAAGCCTTGCGTTAGCAAAGTATTTCTTATATATACGATCTGTTACTCTATTGGGGGGCATAACTCTTCCATTGATTCTTCCAAAAAATGTTTACTTTTCACAATCGTATTCCACGGCCACTGTTATTCCTTTAATCTATTAGATACCTTTCGAATTCCTTTCCAAACGCTCTTGCCATTCCCTCTTTCTTAATCGGAAATCTGTACAATGGAAATGAATAGATTAATGTCGTTTACAGAGGTTTGATTGGTTACGATAGTGCAAATGCCCGAGTGCAGGGACACAACTAGGAGACTAATACACAGCCCTTGGGCAAGCTGAGAGTGGAAAATCCCCCCCCCCGGGACGATTTTAATGGCATATCGTAGGCATAGTCATTTAGTAACATACTATTAAACTGCTATAGAATACTATGTGACATTAGAACAACCGCCTGTTACACATATATTCGGCAATTTTTCAGTTTCCTGACTTTTATTTGCGCTATTGCCTCCTCTATGATAGTACATGCAATAGTATTTCTATATTAGTGAGCTACATAAGTTCCTGCTATTACGTCACACGCATTGTTTTGTCCAGTCTCTTTTGCGCGGTTTTCAGATTTTTCACAAGGCCAAATTCCATGTTTAAACGGCAATAACTTTTACACTAAAAAAACAATTTCAATTCCGTTTTCGAATTTCCGTACATTTTGTACCATAGATTTCGAAAATATAAACTCTCATTTTGTGAAACGAAAAACAACTTGACGAAACGTTTATTATCGGTTCGTTACCCAACCTCGTACCCAGGGTTGTCTTTCTGTAGAACCCTGGGTACGAGGTTGTTCGTTACCCCTTTTATTTGCCCGTTTTAATGCAAGATCATCAATTAACGTATCTTTTACAATTTTTTTCCGGTTAATTTTGGCTATAATAATGATACAATAAGATATAATAAGTTTGTCACAGGGGTGTAGCAATTTTGGCTCGGGTGCTCAAGTTTCCTCCCACAGTGAAAGTTGACAGGGTGGGTTAGGATAAAAATAGACATAAGAAAGCAATCACAATTGTTGTAAAGATAAAGTCTAGGCGAAGTAAATAATACAAGTAAACGCAATACTTGATGTAGTCGGTCACTGAAAAGACCCAATGGGGAGTGACTGAATAATATTTCTAGAACAATATATGTACCTTTTAGTTGTGCAATTTGGCCGCCATCTCCTATAATAATGATATAATAAGATATAATAAATTTGTCACGGGGGGGGGGGGCAACCTCGTTTCCAGACTCCTACTTCTTGTGGAGGGAAGACCCTGGTAGGATCAGGTCACGTGATCTGCAGCATATTTCTAATTAACTATCTTGGATTCCTTTAAAACGAAATCAAATTAAACTTGCAAAACAAAATGCAAGTTACAAAATAAAGTATAAATATCAAATATTGATCAACATCCGTTTCATCCTTTAATTGCAAGGCGTTTCTCTGAGTGGGCGTGGTGTCACCGCGTTTAGAATTTTATGCATAAACATTGATTTTAAGTTGCTGCGTCTCAAGCTACGTTTACACGCTGCGATCTGTCGTGTACTGGCGTCTTCTGGCGTATGGAATTTACTGCTGACTTCACACTTCTCCTCATCCAGATTATGGCCAAATTTGAAATACAACCACTTTACGCGTCTTTATTCGATTACATACACTGGAATACGAATCGTACACAACAAGTCGCAAACGTATACCTTTACTTCTATGGGTTTCCTGTGAACGTTTTCGAGCAGATCAGCAAATCAACTGTCGTATAGATTGCCCCATATGAATTGCCCCCAAAATTACTCCTGCGCATGCTTTAAATTTCATGTATAAAGAAACTATCTATGTATCTAGTATATTCAACACTGAATGTTAACATTAATCAGGAATACAAGATGGAATTTCTCCTGTAATTAAGTATCTACCAGACATTTGGTGCTTTTTCGTTGGTGGGTTTTTAACCCCCCCTCACCCACGCAGGTCCTAAAACATAGAGAAACCATACACGAGTCGAGCAATGGAGTTGTTTCAAAACCTGATTGAGAAATCATTATTCATACTTCCAAGCAAACACAGTATGATTTTAATAAAGAATAGTTTAATAAGAATTGGGGAAATGGTTAATCTATGTGCAGTGAAAATTCAGGAGCTTTATAACAACTTACTTGCCACAAATGGTACACGTTACGCTTCTAAAGGGAAAAGAAATATAAATTAAACAAATATATATTTTAAGTTTCACTGCTACATGTATATCACAATAATTTATTATACCAGTACAATATCGTATCCTGAAGCTGTAATCCTTTATGGAGGGTTAATTGGTTAGGCTATGAAACACACAAAGATTCTCTCCACCATAGAGTATGCTGGTGATAATGGTGTTGTCATCCTGTCACTCCCTCCACACACCTACCATCCTGGCCGCAGAGTCACTGTGGACAAGCTTGGGGAGCTGTTCAATGCTGCCTATTTGTCTGGATTCCGATGCACTGGCATTGTCCCATTCAACAAAGAAATTTTGCCCTCATCTGATTTTCAAAATAGAGGACCCCGTGTTATTTATTGATCCACTATCGGATGAGACCCTGTCTTCCCTTGCTAACACAGCTAAGCAGAGCCCAAGCGATGGTGACGCATCATCTTCAGAAGCACAAACCAGAGAGTCATTTCTAGCGACTGAAAAAAACACACTAATGCCACCTGTACCCTCAGAACCCAGAAATTTTTCACCCTGCACAAAAAACGAACCACCTGCAGTCGATCACGTCAGCTTTTCAATGATTACGAAACTGCCTCCCTCACCAAGAAGAAGAAGTCAAAGAGATCTGAGGAGTCTAGGATGGTCACTAAGTTCTCCATATAAACAGTCTCTTGTTGAGAACATACTGTAGCTGAACAAAACAAGAATTAAGGCAAACAAAAACTTTCTGCAGAAGAAAATAAGTCGATGAAAGCTGCGGAGCAACAGTCAAAGCCATGAGGGCTGAGAGTGATATTGATAACAAGAAATCGGCGAAACCGCGAAAGCTAAGAATGTTTAAAACATGAACATTGTGGAAGATTCACAATGTCCTATGTTTGATGGATTTTGGTCTGAGCATAGACAATCAAAGGAATCGCTTCACTATTCTAGTTTTATCAATTGCCGTTCTACAGCACTGCTGCAAAGCCTTGCAAAGTCTCTTTTGCACTATTCGTCGACTATTCGTACTATTCGTCGCCTATCACCTGGCAGTGTTCAAAAAAGTTAGAGCCAATTGGAAGCCGCCTTATTGAGGGATTAGCTACTGGGGAAAGCCCTTGCACATGCATTGGAATGCATGTTTCGAATTTTGGGCGAATTGGAAGATTCATCACGGCGCAATTTTAATACAAGTTTCTCGGGTTTGTATTGTGTTCAGTTACAGTTTACATTCAGAAGTGGTTGCTCAAACAGCAAATTAGTTTACTTTGAAGCTAATATTTCGCTTTCTAAGCCACAGTATTATATAAAATTTTCTGTCTTCCGAGTTCTGTTGTCTTATAAAGATAAACCGTTAAAATTTCAGCGAAATATATTCGGCGGCATTTGATGCTGTCTGGATATTAAGATTCATACAGTATAAATATGCCAATCCTGTCCGCGTTTTAAATATAACCGAACATCTTTAACATCCAAATCTGATCATTAATGGTGCATTTTATTACCTGAACAAGTATCATGCATCTTTTAAATTCAATTTATGTGCAATTTTGACCAAAATTCAACCGACGACTGCTTTCAAAATATATATTATACACTTAATGTCTGCTCCCGAGGGAAATAGTTAGTTTTGTTTTCCCGAGAATCTCAATGTTTCCAGAGACAGTCGAGGAAAACATTAAGATGGTGTGTTCCAAGGAGGGGGTGTTCCAACTCCTCACGCCCAGCCTTTATTGATTTGTCATCATTGTGTTTATCGTTGACACGTAACCGACTTTGTTAAGTTTATCGTTTTATTATGAATGAATTGTCCATATTTGAAACTAACCTTTTCATATAACCATTTATTTCTTTCTTTTAAAATCTGTACTTCTTTTTCTTTTTCCCTAATGTCGTTCATCACAGTTTCAAATTCTTCCCAAAATCTGAAAGAACGAGAAAATATTAATTAAGTAAAACACAAGTTCAACTTAGTTCAATCTTGCAGGGTTTAAAGTTATCTGTGTTATAGAGCCTGTGACCAGGTTGCCTCTCTGTTATACAATATTTATGCAAAGTGACATATATATGTATACAACCCTCATCCTTACCTTTTTCAATATTTTCTTTTTTTCCACTTCCTTCGCCATTTCTAAATTTTCTTTTTCCCTTTCTGTTTCTCTTTCTTTTATCGTTCTTTCCAGCCTTATAATGTTCTCTTTATCCTGATTATTCTGTATATCAAGCAATGTTTTATGTCAGAAAGCAAGTGTACAAAATCTTTTTTTAATTTTCCTTTCAAACCCGTTTTCCCATTTATAAATATTTGTCGTAATTCTTCGACAGTCTGCTCAAGTTCCAACTTTTCCCACGCAAAATTTGTTTTTAAGCGAAATGTTGCTTTCTTCCCAAAAATTGTTGGCGAATGGGAAGGGGGCGTGTTTCACGGCTCTCCATCGAAACATTTTCCGCACATCTTATTTCTCTAAATTTTTGTGTCATTCTAACATGTTAGTTTCTTTCGTTCCTATCCAACTGAGAATAGATCATTTGCCGACTGCCTGACGATTGGGGGTGTTCCAATCCCCAACGCCACTCCTCCCCGTTTAGCGCCGCCACTTCCAGGTCCGACGTTTATAAGATGGAATGCCGGTCGAGAGTGTGAGAGGACATGAGAAAGCAGGTAGATGCAGCTTTTTCACAAGGTTGACTTTTTACTAATGATCGAAAGGGCCCAGCTCATCTGAAAATATTGATTGCTTCACTACTGGCGCAAACAAAGGTCTACTGGACCAAATGCCCCAGTAGTTATGTAATTACATGTAAAAAATGCCCTGACTACCCCCCTCCCTCGCTTAACCTACTACCAACTAAATCTACAGTAAAATACCGTGGGTATACATGTACCTCTTCAACTAATTTTTGCATTTCTATTTTTGTACGTTTTTCGTGCTGCTGCAGTAATATTAGGTTTCTTTCATTTTTTTCCAATTCCGGTTCCAGGTTTTCTTTCTCCGTTTTTTCAATCTTCCATCTTTAATAATAGAAATGAATTAGTTTTTCACGCACCGCCATTTTTGGAGCAGTATAATTTCTCCTAAACGATTATAACAATGTGAAAGCAATATTTCAGAACTTTAGGATAAAACAAACCACTCTGTTTACACTTGTTTTTGGACTCAGGGGAGTCACTCAACCTTTTCACATACCCTTAATTCACTCGTTGTTAAGATTGCAATATCTCTTTCCAAGTTATATATAAATTATGTATAGATGTTATACAATATTTATGCAAACTTTCGTTTACACGACATCTGAATATCTGACCAGAACGACAACCATTACCCTCACCTCTCTTCCATTTTTCTTAGCTGCTCTTCTTTTTCTTTTTCCGTCATCTTCCATACTGAAAATATTTTTTCAAATTAAAGCTTTTGCCAGTCATCATAATTGAGTCAAATATAATAGATTATGCTGTTGTCCTTGAAAGTCTGCATGTCGAGTGCAATCGCTCATTTGTTTAGTTTTACCACAGAAAACAAGAACACTATGCTTCTATTGCATATACAACAAGCAAACTTATTCTTAGTTCATCTTTATTTCAACTTCAAGAGAACAACTACAGAAAGTGAAATCGATCGCAAGAGTCGCAAGAGTTGTGTTTCCTTTTCGAGTTAAGCTCTTGATAAAATGGGTGTGGTTTGGGCGTGGTCGGGGCTTAACTTTAAACGGATTTAACTCGAAGATCACACTAGCTCAATTTTTGGTACGGCACAGATAAAATTGGTACCCGTACCACTTTTTTTGGTTCTTGGACTACCTATTTAGGTAGTCCAAGAACCAAAAAGTGGTATACGGTACCAAAAATTGAGTGTAGTGTAAACGGGGCTTAGGTAAGTAGGTAGTACAAGAACCAAAAAAGAGGTATAGGTACCAATTTTATCCCTCCCGTACCAAAAATTGAGCGTAGTGTAGACGGGGCATAACTTGATATGTGTGCGTACATTGGCAGTTTATTTTCAAACTTTTACTGAAGTAGTTTGTCTTATATTATACAGAGTGTGAAATCGACATCAATTTTATGTTGGTAACCGTTCCTGTGTGCTTTTCTTACGTTGCTCTGTTCAAGCGCCACCTTCAAGAAAAGCGGAAAAGTCGAATACGAGAACGAAAGGCTGCTGGGAATCGCTTACAAATTAATTGAAATAGCTGTAAGAGTTTGTATGCGTTTCATTTAGGACAAGTTATCTCAACTGTTTTAGGGTAAAATGACCATGGCGGTCAACATGGCATATGTGCCAAAATCTGAATTCAGGACGAAAGTCCTTAAAATGACGAAAAGGAAAAGCGATAACTTTCTGAAGTGCTTATAGTGTTTAGATAGGTTGCTTTTAGGGGTGGTTATTGGAAGGAAAATTTGTCTAAGTATAACATTTTACAAGAAAATTACCATTTCACCACCCAAGGTAAATTGCTAATTATGCATAAAAGAACTAAGGGACTGGTCATTAAATATGGCAAGGGAGGGATGGAGGAGAAACTAGAAATTTGGAAAAAAATTTCGCCCCCCTCAAAAATTATATGCCTTTTTATACTTTTTAAAGACTCCCCCCTCTTGTACTGCTTAAAAAATAGTTTTGTATTGATGGCTGGCCCGATTAGGACAAAGCTTAGGAGAGCAAGTGATCAATGAAGAGTATTAAAAGAGGTATAAAATTTGATGAAACTAGTTAAATAAACATTTTACAATTTATTTGGTAGGTTACTCTATGGCCTATGCTTGTCTCGCCTACATCCACTTTTATATTATTTTTTATGCTTTACTCATTATGTTCTCTCTCTTCCGCAGAGGCTTTAGTTTTCTTAGGATTTAATATTACGATGAGATACATTTCACTACACTTTACATGGCGGATCTTGGAACACGAGCGTAGCCGCTGGGCGAAGGAGCGCAGAGAGCATTATGTTAATACCCAGTGTTCCAGTTTAAAGGGCATTTTATGCATTTTTTTGGCTGTTCATAGTATATAACGAGAAAGAATCCTTTTGTTGGGAAAAATCCGAGGACCCCCCTCTTTCACATAATGTAATTTTCAAGATCCCCCATCTCAATGAAAAACTATCAGGACCCCCCTACTTTCTCCTCCATCCCCCCCCCCTCAATATTTAATGACCGGTCCCTAACATGCCTGGCAGAAATTAAATTTTCTTATTTCCTAAAAAAAAATTATGCTTAACATAATTATTGTAATAGTTTCATAAGGATTGTCATTTTTTTTGTTTAATAAATAAATTTTAAAAACTCTTTAGTAATTATAGTATACAGAATACAAGCCAGAAGCTAGAATTACTGTCCTATATGTACTAGTGGAAATATGAGCAGCCGATCTTTTTCTGATATACGGTACCTACATGATCAATCGATTCATATTTCACCGTAAAACAGTTCTATATTTGGCACTTTTTACATTCAGTAGCTTTCAAACAAATTACAATTCAGTAACACTCTGCTCTCATCTGGTTAACATAGTTTTCAATCCATTTCCTTTGATAACTTTGTTAAGAATCGTTCGAAAACGCAAGAGCAGAAGTACAAAGCGATAACGTAAATGCAAATATAAACAACGAACAACTTTGTATTAATGTGCGAGTATAAATCCAGAATAAAGAAAAATACAAAGCTACGTTTATTTGCTTTTAAAAATCCTGATGCATCTTTTGTTAAAAATACATAATTATTGCAAGTGCCGAGGCCGAAGTGAAAATAAAAAACAATAAAATTTGTTCAAAACGCCCCCGAAAGCTATAAAGATGTTATGACTGCTGTTATTGTTGTCATACTCAATTTTTCGGGAAAATCCCACAGATCCCACGAATAAACAGCACCAGTCCCGCAAGCTGGTTCTCTGTCCAAATGCTGATTGGCTAATCACTTGGAAATCTCATTCCTGCTCGGGTGTGCAGACGTTACTTTCCGAGCAAAGAATTGAGCGTGGGAAATGACGTCTGGGTTTAATACGGACTACACTGATCTATGCGTTTATCTCATACCAATGTAAAATTAAGAAAAGTTTTAGGTCTTTAACTGTTTACAAAAAGATTGCAAATGGCGGATCCACGGTGGATGTTGAGTGTGGATACCGGATACATGCAAGTTAATTGCATAATGCTAACATCTCAGAAACTAGTCGGAAATTAGATTTCCACTCCTGCCATAGAGACTAATTGTATGGGTAAAATATTTTTTGAATACTAAATTATTAGAAATACATCCAATGCCTGTTATAGAAAAGAAGGTTGGGGTCTGGTACTAGTACTGATATGTACTTACTTTCTTTTTCTTGCCTCTCCCCCTCCAACTGATGTGTTATTCCCTAAGTTGGAAAGGAATTGAAATTACTGAGAATGCTTTCCTCATTTCCAATAAAACCCCCACTATATATCTCGCTATAAACTTTATTTATTAACGAGATGCATGAAAACTTACTTCTATTTTTAAATTTAATTTTGTGATTTCATTGTAAAAATCTTGGGCCGTTGTTTCGGCGTCTGCAAGCTGGAATTTGAACAAAATTAAAATTAAACTTAAACTATAAAACAGTGTAGGTAATAGAAAGATTTGGTATGATAATTTTTCTGTTCCATGTGTTTCATCACACCTGAGATGAACCAGTGTGAGTATTAATTACTCGGCTATATTGGCATAAGCGTCCGTGTCAATGTGGGTAGTTGCAAGAAAGCTTTGAATGTTCTCCTTGTATTTTTCAGGTAGTTGGATCCCTATCGATCCAAAGCTCTCTATATTTCCATAAGCCTGCAATACATTCTTCAAGAGACCAGCGACGATCTCCAATTCTTGCTCTAATCTCGAACGAACACGATTCTGATTAGAGTCCAGTCCCCTCAACTTATCTTCTCTCTCCTGTTTCATTCTGACTTACCTTTTTTTTAAACATTCTATTTGAACGTTTTCTCTAGGGAAGAAATGATGGTTATCATTGGTAAAGAAGGACAGTCAGCCGATCTGCAAGGCCTACAAAAGTGGAGGGCAGCCAGTTTGCCGAGAAACCCAAAAAGGGGCCCTCAAAGCAACGAAGGTTGTGTTACTTGCCAGATTTCATGAACTACAAAAACTTACGGTCGAGATCTTCGGCCGTAAGACTTCGTCCGGATCACTGCCTTTGGAGGCTCCAGTTCTAAGTGAAGAAGGAAAAACAGAAGATGAGCTTGATATGATAAGGAGTGCGCTCCTGACTACCATTGATTGAAACATATGGCTTTCTAACAGAATGAAGTATCGCAGTTTCCTGCCAAATTACTCTGCAAGTATCGAAAGTCAAAACTATTAAGAACTCAAACGCCCAAAATTTCATTATGGGATTTATAAGCAGGGCCGTACACAGCGTGGGCAGGCGGAAGAGAAGACTATATTTACGATTTTTGGAATGTCATTATTAATTATTCTTTGGATATTTGGGACTTTTTTCGGCATATAGGCCTTACAGCCCCTGTTGAAAAAATATTGCGTACGGCCCTGTTTACAAGAACCACTTCAATCTGATATATAAAAGTGATTCTTCTTCTATGAACAATTTGACAATAACAAATATAACATTTTTGAATTGTATATGAATAATATAATTCTTGATTGTGAATATTACCTAATTTGTCCTCTTCTTCAAAATTTACCTAGAATATTTAATAGCACGATAAAGTTTTCATTTCCTACTTATATTAATATAACTCGGGGTCCTAAATTTGCAGTATCGTATACTATCGGGATGGTACCAGTTTGCGATGTTGGATTGTCAAACCAGATGTCAAAATCAGATTAATGTTTTGCGGGACCAGTGACATATTTTATAACCGCGGACCCGTGGATCCTCCTCCCCCCCTCCCCTCCCCGCCAACTGAATTTGTAAACACTGATTTCAGAAAGAAACAGTTGGAATTAAAATTAGTATGTGCGTGAAAAGCATATAAGTTTGATTAGTTGGTTCGGCGCTTCGGTGGCGCACTGGAGCAGTCGTCAGAGCCATATGAACATATACATATTGCATTATATAGTATATTGCAATACTTAGATTTTACAACAAACAACAACCTAGAAAATATGTACCTACTGTGTCTACTGTGCAATATGTTCGTTTGGGCCTCGCGTCAAAACAGGGAAAAAAGTGGAAACGAGTAAGCGAGTAATTCCAGAAAAGATCCACCCTTGGACAGATTCATAGGGGGAATGTTTGTTATCCAGAAAGGGAGGAGAGGTTGTTTCCGATAACTAGTAATAAGGCTATTAGAACATCTAAGGGGGTAGGGAGTTAACTTTCCTAAGTAGTGGGGAAGGCAATGATATTTTCTGAAATGATCCAATTATAGTTTACAACCTGCCCCCCATAAGTTAATGCTCTATTCAACTGCCTCATTCTAGAGCGCTAACTTATCTTGTTTGTACACTTCAATTAATATTTATATTCAATTAAAATAAAAACATTTCATCTGCTCACCTCTTCTATATTTTCGCCGTTATAGTAGTATTCCATCACGATCTATAATTAGATTGATCTTGATTGTTTTTGTTACAGAATGAATAATAAAAGAATTATTGAACTCGGCTTAAGCTACGTTTACACGCTACGATTAATCAGTTGCTGGCGCCATAAATCATTGCCGTTTCGTTAAAAAGAAATTTTAAATATGGCCACCTTACGCCTGTTTACTTAGTAACATACGCCAGAAAACGAATCGTACACGATTAATCGCAGCGTGTGAACGCTCGCTTCGGCCGATAACGCTGACCTCGTACCGAAACGTACACGCGTAAAAATTGAGAAAATCAACAACTTGTGCAAGTTGATATCGACAGGCGTGAACAAAGTTGTGCGGTCCACTATGAACAGTATTGTCAACATGTTGTTACAACATTGTTCAACTGTAACAACTTGGAACAACATGGTTGACAACTTGTTCATAGTTGAACAACATGGTTGACAACTTGTTCATAGTTGGCCGCACAACATTGTTCACGCCTGTCGATATCAACTTGCAACAACCTGTGCGTTTTTAGCCGTGTAGCGTATTTCTTTGTTTCCTCAGTGGTAGTGTAAAACTAATGACTTCAAAACATTAAAGAAAATGCTACGGTACGTTACGATTGAAGTGGAAAACTGGCTTTATAAGTGAATGATAAAACAATTATTGAACTCAGTTCTCGCAAAATATGGTGATTTGTCAGTGGCTCGCAGTGTCTCAGCTGCCTCGTCGCTTTAGTTGCATCTGCCTTCGGCATCGGCAGCAATCTCCTACCCAGAGCCACTGAATCGAACGATGACTCTGCGTACGAGATTGCATCGACACCAACAAATCACGATATTTTGTTCAACGATCTTAATTGAAAAATATCATTTACTTATTCATTTTGGCTAATTTTGCTACAAGTAAATGGTGAGAACAATAAGTCTGCTGGTCTGAGCATGCGCGCTTTTGGAATCAGTTCTTAATTGCAAAATATTTAGAGTCGACTTGAGAATATCCATCCTCGTTCCCAGGGCTTCTCGGCTGCAACGCAGGCAGCCGAAAAGCCCTGGAAACAAGGATGGACATGCAATATCGAAAGTCTACTTGACCCAGTTTTTCGCGCGAGTTATGTGTTGTCCAAATCTTGTGTCTGTCTGTCTGTGGAAAAGAATTAAGCCGGTTTCCACTTCGCCCGTATCGTACCGAAACGTACTGGTGAGTATGCGCAGATTGAAAATAGGTTGATATATCTTCGAGGGACCACTCGCAGTCTAGTCCCATGGCTTATGGCAATGTTTGGCAGCTGAGACGCCCAACGAACAAGAATGTGTTTATACAGCCTCAAAAACACAGTTCAACTGGAGAGAATGAGAAATAATCAGCAGTGTGCTACCAATATGCTAAATCGGAAAGATCCTCGATTTCATTATTTTCTTCCTCCATTTTGGCCTCTATTTCATTCTTACAGTGAAAGAATACAACAGAAATATTACTTGTGAAACTTACGAATTCGTTATAGTATGATGGCACAGAGATTTTGTTTCATATCTGCATTTTTCAGAGCGCATGTGGCTTTTCCACCCGGCCAAGCACACGAGAGTCCTTAAAAATAATGAAAACATAAAGTTTAGCAGAGTCTTGCAAAAGCAAAAATTGGAGGAACTCCAATTGAAAAACCGTCACACGGTTCCAAGGATCAAGTCTCAAATAAAATACAGTTGAAAAAATTTTCAGCAAATATTCAACCCGTGCAATGAAGGAAACAAAATTGAATACAAAATAGAATACAACAGAAATATTACTTGTGAAACCGACTCGGTTTCAATTATTATACCTTCATACATGCTTCCAGCGAAATAGTTGTCGGTCATGCACTTTATAAATTATAACTACTTAGTTGCCCACAAATGTCTCACTTAAACTCTCTAAAGCAAAGGAAAAAGAAACATAAATATATTATTATTATTATTATTCTAATCTTAAAATTTTATTAATCGCTACATGCAACCCATGCAATCAAGGAAACAAAATTGAAAAGTTTAAGAAATTTGATTTCCATTCCTGACTTAGACATTTTTTGAATATTAAATTATTAGAAATACATCCAATGGCCATGCCTATCGTAAAAAGGAGGGGTTAATTGAGTTAAAAAAACCTCACATTTTTTCATCTATTTTGAACTCCATTTCATCCTTTACAGTGAAAGCTAGCATACAACAGAAATATTACTTGTGAAACTTATGGATTCTGTTGTTCTTTGTTTGCTACAGACATACGGCTAGTTCGTCCTTTAGTCGAGAACGAGTGATTTTTGATCGCTTCGAGCACATCTTGTGTTTCATGGAGAACAGGCTCTAATAGCAGACTATCTTCAAACTTATCCTGAATCTCATTTTTTAATCGATCTCAAATTTATGTTTTACAGTTTCTTGTTTTTGATGCAGGACTTTCTCAGAGTGTCTCGATGGTATTCATATAAAAAATAATCATGATTTCAGTACTAGCTTTGGGCTGCTGAAAACACACACGCGTTTGGAATGCAGACAAATTGCCACATTTTTCGGGGAAACTTTTGTTAAAGTTCGAGTCAAGCAGTCCCTTAATACTTGCTAGACTAGAAAATACATGCATGCAGAAACCCTCGCCACAGAATAGGAAGTTATACCAGAAGCGTAACTCTAGTCGTTTCCCTTATTGTTTGACGTCCACGAAAATTTTAACTCGCTCACGTCAGGCCACGCCATCCTGGCTAGTACAGCCGGAAGTTTTTATCAGGATTTGGTAGGTACAAAGTGCCGGTTGTACTAGCCAGGATGGCGTGATTGATGACGAATCGCTTGTGAAACGCGGACAAATATTTGCTCGAGTTACGCTTCTGGTATAACTTCCTATTCTGTGCCCTCGCCTTGCTGACAAAACCGTTGTATTTTCCGAACATGAAGTATCTAAAGTAGTTGTCATGGTAACACGATAATTTTTTAAGAATATTCTTACAAATGAAAATCGCCTATAAATATTACTTTTAATTACAAAATTATCAATTCCCAAGATATA